ATGAGTAGAGAAACATGTTTTTGTGCTCACCTTTAACAATGAAGAGAGTTATTATTACTCGGTACAGAGTTATTATTAGTACTGTTTAGTAAGTTTAGTTAGATTAGAAGTTTTAACACAATTTTATATGAAACACTGAGCCACATCGAATGTATGAAAAGTGCTATACAAATACAGTTTGCCATAATACTATAGTATTATTATTTAAACACAACTTTTTATTTATCAAAAAATGTAAATACTTTTGAGAAATGTGTCGGGATAGGAATGGAACTTGTAGATTGTTTTAAAATAAAATAAAATACATTTATAATATTGTAAAAGGTAAGTTAAATGTTTCAACACACATTGAAATACAAGTACAGGTGTTCACAGCTATTATAACTTTAGTTTATCTTGTAAACAATTTAATTTGTGTTCAGAGCATTCAAAGTATTATAAAGTTATCGAAAGCTGCTGCAGATACCTTTTTGTAAAGATATTTGGCAATAAATTAAATTAATAGTCAGCCAAGGAAGAAACGATAATAGTCATTCCTCAACTGTTATCTAGCAGGGCAGAACCAGAGAGGTTGGAGACGTTTTATTTGTTGTCTTTCTTTTATTTACTGATTCAGAAGCTTTAAGGTTTTATTTTATTTGGTATTTCAGTGAAAGACAGGTTTGCAGAAAATATGAGCAAACAATTTAAGTCAATTTTTCCTCCTGTTTAAAATGCAAATAACCATTTTCAGCTTTTCATTTCCTTGTTGAAAATCACCAATTATATTTTTCAGTGAGCACAGAGGAGAAACTATCACTGCATCACCATGATTGCAAAGTTTTGTGTCGTCCTTCTGCTTGGTAAGAGAAACCTCCATTCAAAATAAAGATGTAAAATTGCCTCGTCATGTCTAAAGTTTGAAATGTTGGACCAAAGGCGAAACTGATCTGACATTTTCTGCTCAAAACAGCCTCTGGCAACGCACAGACCACAACCAGAACCACCACGGCTGCACCAACAACCAGAACCACAACCCCATATTTGATGATATCAGCACGGATGGACCAACAACCCCAACCAGCACGGCTGGTTGTGAGACCAACAAGGCCAGACCAACATGTAGTGTGGAGTGTGCTTGTAAATGTTAATCTCTGACATGTCATCACACGTGTCTCTGATGGAGGTGTCTATAATTAATCAAACTGTCTGTGATTGGAGGACTCTGTAATGTTCTGGTTCAGAGGATTGTGAGTGAATCTGCTTTTTGTCTGTAATTGCATAAAAAAGATGATCTACAATAAAGGTTTACAATAAAGGCTATTCTTTAAAGTTTTTCCAAATTACTTTAATATTTGTTTAAGACTTTATTTGGAAATTGTAAGTGTCAATTACAATATCTGTAATTTACATCATCATTATTATGTATACAGTGTATATTTATAGGGTAAGCCCTAACCCCACTGTCCAGGAGGTACAGGTCCTAAAGGGTCCACTTTCTAGTCTTTTCGACCACGGAAACTAACATTCACACTCACTCACACACTGGCGGAATAGCAAATAGCACCCGGCAAACCGGGTATCTTGCCCTGCGGACACTGCGACACGCAACCAGGGGGAGCCAGGGATTGAACCGCCAACCTTCTGATTAACCGCCAACCTTCTGATTAAGAGCCAAGCCGCTCTACCTCCTGAGCCACAGCCGCTCTAACGTCCCTATCTATGGGTAAAATCTATATATTAACACCAGAGTTGCGGGGAATATATTGAACTAATAAGCTTGACACAGTAGATGAATAAAACACACTCTTATTAAAATTTAAAAAGTACTTGGTTATGGTTAGGAAAACATCGTCGTTTGGGTGTAGTCACGGAATCTGATAGGTCACATATTTTGGTGTTACACCGGCTACATCATGTTTCAGAGTCCATGAACTTTGGCTGAACAATTGCTGCTACTGATGTTCATGAAAAGTTTTTGTATAAGCAAATGTATACTTATTTGGGATAGTCTATGCTATTGAAAAGGTATTAGCAATATTTTTGAGGTTGTACATAATGATGTGCTCCTCCAGGGCAACAGCGACATCCACAATCTATTCTGCCAGCAACTCTTGCCTGCAGTGTGCGTCTGTGTGTGCTTGTAGGCTTGAGTTGCCATTATGTGTGTGTGTGTGTGTGTGTGTGTTGTTCCACTGTCACGCCTCCTGTGCTCATTTTTGGGACTGGTTACAATGCGTAACTCTCATTCCAATTCCCTCACAGCAGCAGGTATAAGGAATGTTTGTAATGTTCAGCCATCCTGTTATCTGGTTTAACGCGGATGGCATTAACAATGTATTTGCAGTGTGTTAATGCTTATGACCGCTGGTGGTCTAGTGGACATCGACTACATCTGGCTTCGCCCTTATCCCAATAGCTACACCTCTTAGAGGGCGAAGCTTATACGAAATAGAACGTTGATTATGTATTGTAACCTCAGATTCTATGAGTATAGGCGTATAAGCTGCGGCCCCGACTGGTCCTACCTTTTTCTCTGGTGTCACCGGTATTATATACCTGAGAGAGGCCCGTACACGGCACATGGGCGCGAAAGAAATCTTCAGGACTGTGCATGAAGATGGGGATGAACCCAATAGTGACAGCTCTTAGAGGGCTACGCCTATACTCATAAGGGGCGAAGCTGCTGGAGCCCTATTGGTTTTCTTCTGATTCTTCTTCTTCTGAGTTTTCCAAAACTCACCAAAATTGGCACGTAAGTTGCAAATTCCACCCACTACTCGGGCAAAAAAAATGGCCCTCATAGACCTCATGGCGGCGCTATAACTATCAACTTTGCGTTTTTGCAATTATCTCAAACAGCTTTGTTTAGAGTCAAACATCTTTCATTATTTTAATCTCTAGATTCATCTGCATCTTTGCTCCAATGGTCTTCTGCTCGAAAAATGTCAAATTATGACTTTTTATCACTTTTCTCTAAAACCTATTTTTGCGGTTTCGACCCGAAACTTTGGTGGGATCATTTACGTTGCTGATCAAAAGTTATCAAAAGAATTTTGATACGTCAATCTGTGTTTTTTTCTTAAATTTTTACTTTTGTGTTTACAATTTTACATGAATGCCCGTAAATCAAAATTGGCTATTGTAACCAATCAGATGCTCGGCACAAGCTTCGCTGAGCAGTCCTGGGATATTCCTCCACTAGGTAGCGCTACTCTTGCAAAAAGTTTATACCTCGTAATTCGCTAGATAAATTTGTACGAAATTCGGTTTGTATGATCTCGGGTCACTACTCAGTTGATGTATAAAAATTGGTAATGATTGCGCAAAGTGGGCGTGGCTTATTAAAGAAATGTAAATTTCTAGACATTTCTCATTCCTAACTTAAAAAAATCTAAGAAAATCATCTGTACATCCTAGACAGCTGAAACTTTTTCAGCACATCCACTGATTGTGTGCCCCTCAGTGTATCTGAGACTAAATAAAACATGGCAGAGAGACTCTTGTTAACACAAGCGTGACTTTAATGTTTCTGAATAATTCACAGAAGCAAGCCCGGGTGCTCCATCAACAACACAACTCCACTGCAGGAGGAGTTATGAAAAAGGGTCAAGACAGAAGAAGAGGTAAAGGAAAGATGACAATCGTGAGGAAATATGTGCAATGAAATGAAATGAGAGTAAGATGGTCACTGCCACTCCTTTCTGCAGGTAATTAAGTGGGACCACTATCATATAAAATACTAAATATTTACCTAAAACCCAAAACCCTAAAAAATAGAGCAAATCTCACCTAGAGCCTACTACTAGTGATGGGCAAATTAAGCTTTTGTGAAGCACTGAACAACTTCAACAAATCATTTTGAAAATGGGTTCATGACTCGAAGCTTCAGTTACTGTGACCTGTCCTGGCTAAATGCAAGGCTGCTGTCAAATTAGGCAGGCTTGTTGGTGGACAGAAGGCTTTTAATTATACACACACGCACACACACACCTCAGTGTTGGAGAAACTACTTTACTTATACAATTATAGCAAGCGTTTGATTGCTGTAATAGCCAATAAACGTTTTTCAATTGATTATTGAGACGGGTATGAATAATTTTGGACATGCCACTTTTTGTTCAAATGTAAATAAAAGATGAGTAATCATTTTTTCCACAATGATGCCTCTTGTACATCATCTTATTATCTTCTGGGAGACGCCTGTGCCATTTCCAATCAAGAAACAACTTGCTGGTTGAATAACAGTAACTTTAAGTTAGAATTTGCCTGGGGTATGAGTAATTTCAGACTTGACTGTAAGTCTAGTTTAAACACATAATGTGGGCACATCCAAACCATCCGGTGGGTAAGTACTGAAACAAATAATGATCTGCACAGAGTAATTATGAATCCAACTAGGTGGTTTTTATTGTGATGTAAACCACACAAGACCTCAGAGGTCACAATTAATTACATCTGCTGCAGGGGTCCAAAACTTATCCTTGTCCAAAACACAACAGAGTAACTTCTCAGTCAATGTCACATCTGTCTCTTAAATAAATGTTAAAATAAACCAGTCTATACCTAATAAATATATATATATATTTATTTATTTATTTATTTATTTATTATCAACCTTTCATTTTTTACTTTCTACTAACATATGTGTGAGTGTCCGTGTAAGAGAGGCTGCTTGCCCTCGAACAAAATCAGAGAGTTATATTTATAAAGGAGATAATGGGAAAGTGATAGTGGAGGATGAGCTTTTGAACTTTATTGCCGTCAAAATGAGAAAACTGTCCCATGATGAAATTGTTTTGTTAGCCTCAAACAATTTCTCATCTGAGTGGATTGAAGCGCCCAAGCGACAGTTGTTTGATATGTGCACTACTACAACATGCTGCATCAAGCACAAAGGCCCTCAGAAGGATTTTAACAACATCAAAGATTGTCTGAGGGTGTTTAATGAGTGCGGTGAAAATATTCCCAGGTTTGTCTAACACTAACTAGATGAACTTCCACTTGTCGGTTTTGGCAACATGGACGCCTTGGCGCTGCTCAGCAGAGTGGAACAGCTAAGCTGGGAAGTTTCAAGTTTGAGAGATGTTCTGGAAGCCCAGGCAAGCGTGAATGAGAACTTGATGGCGACTACAGCAGTCATGGATTGCCGGGTTACTGTTATTGAGAAGCACCGCGGCTCCCCTGGCCGTGCACCTGGGGCTAGTGCTGCCTTTCAAGAGAGAAACTTACATAATACGGCTGCGTCTGCTCGGCAGTCACAGGGAGAGGCCCCAATCCTTCTGTCACAGTCCCCGGCATGGAGCAGAAAGGGGTACGCAAGCCCCAGAAGCCTCCAAACGCAGCCGTGCAGCCTAGTATGTCTACCGGCGGTGTTCAGGCTCGTTCGAAATGGGAGCAGCGGAGGAAAATGGGTATTATTGGTACCGGTGTTGTAGCCCTACTGGTTTTCAAACTAACTGGATGCCATACGCGTGTGTGTGTTATATATTGACCACTGCATTACAGCCCCATCACACTATCACACGGGAGTGCTTTTACATTGTGACGGTTCTGCAATCAGCTCCTCTGTCACCTGTAAAGACAACAATGGGTAGACAGTTAAACAGCTTCTTCCAAAGTGCCATAAAGCTACTGAACTCTGAGATCGTCTCAGCATGATAACCTCTGTGGCATGTAACAGTAATTAGGGGTGGCAATGTGAAATACACTGTTTACTAATATGTGCAATATACAGTTTGCTGCTGGACAATGTGCAATAATAATTGTCTGTAACAGAAGCTCTAAGGTCAGCCCTAAGGTCAGCTAAAGCTGCAGCCCAATCCTCGGTTCTTATCCTGCTTGACCTATCAGCTGCCTTTGACAAAGTCAACCACAGGATCCTGCTATCCACTCTCTCAGCAATGGGCATCTCGAGTAAAGCACTTCTGTGGTTCGAATCCTACCTCTCTGGGCGTTCCTACAATGTTTTGTGGCAAGGACAATTATCCTCCTCCCACTACCTCTCCACAGGGGTGCCCCAAGGCTCAGTGCTAGGGCCCCTTCTCTTCTCAATTTACACCACCTCACTGGGGCCGATCATTCGCTCGCATGGCTTTTCTTGACACTGCTACGCAGACAATACGTAACTCTACCTATCCTTCCCGCCAGGCGATCCCACCGTCTCGGCGCAGATCACGGACTGTCTATCGGACATATCTGCATGGATGAAGGCTTGCCACCTTCAACTAAACCTCTCTAAGACTGAACTCTTGGTCATTCCAGCCAAGCAATCTATCCACCATAACATCAAACTGCAAATTGACTACTCAACCATCACTCCAACCAAGGTGGTGAGAAACTTGGGTGTCATGATTGATGACCAGCTGTCCTTTTCAGACCATGTTGCTGCTGTCTCTGGGTCATGCCGCTTTGCTCTATACAACATAAGGAAAATCAGGCCCTACCTCACTCAGCGCGCCACCCAGCTTCTGGTACAGGCCATGGTTATCTCTCGTCTCGACTATTGCAATGCCCTCCTAGCAGGTCTTCCAGCCTGTGTGGTGAAACCCTTACACATGGTTCAGAACGCAGCAGCGCATTTGGTTTTTGATCAGCCCAAAAGGACTCATGTCACTCCATTACTCAGTGACCTCCACTGGCTCCCCGTGGCCTCCAGAATCAAATTCAAGTCACTAATGCTTGCATAGAGAGTGACTACTGGGTCTGCACCCATCTACCTAAACCCCATAATACAAACTTACATTCCTTCTCGGCCACTACGCTCCTCCAACAAACCTTTAGGACTTAACTAAACCATCGCACTAGTAACAGCCCAGCTACCTGTCTGCAGGCATAACGCTCATTATATGCTGGTGAAAAAGGTGGATGTAAATTTCTGCAGGAAGCCTACACATCTGTTCTGCAGAATAATGCATCTACCTCTTAAGCTCCTTATCAGAAACATCACTGATCAAACGCAGTTATCACCTCAGAGTGTTTGCTGAATAACTTATTGATGACTATAAACATCCTTCAATATGTACTTCAATCATCCCCACTGATGAACCTCACAAAGAATAGTATATCGTTTTTAAACAGTAATGTTACACTCGGAGGTATACGGCTCTCCTTGGCGAGCAGGTGTGACAGTTTCAGGCAGAACTCCCCCCTCGGCTCTCTGCCTTTAAGCCCTTCATGTCCATCGGGATCAGGTGGGCATGGAAGATAACCAAATCCAAACTATCCGAACAACTATTGGAAGTTTCCCTTGTTCAACTGCATCATGGACTGAAGACATTTTGAGGGCTTCGGAAAAAGCCTCGAGTTTCTACAAGATTCTACAGATCTGCAGAAGAGGGAGAGATCTGCTAGCTGGACATCTTATTCCCCTCCCTTTCGCTCCAAAATGAAGACATCTAAATTATTTGTATGCTTGCCCTTGCTTAATTTTTCAATAAAAATATAATCACTACATTTTAAGTCCTACAAATAGACACTGAAATTATTTTTGGTATTAATTCATTAGTAATAGTGTGTTTTAACATCTTTTAACGTTGTTATAGGTTGCTCTAGCCAAAGAAATCGTGAAGCTGTAGAGGACCTCCAGGTGTGTTTGGACTGCACTGACTGGGATGTTTTCAGGACTGCTACCAACAGTCTGGATGAGTTTACAGAGGCTGTGGCGTCCTACATCAGCTTCTATGAAGACAGCTGCATTCCAACACGGACCAGGGTGAGTCATAACAATGACAAACCCTGGTTCCCAGCTAAGCTCAGACAGCTTAAGTTGGAAAAGGAAGAGGCATTTAGGAGTGGCAACTGGGCCAGGTTTAAGGAGTCAAAGTACAGGTTTAGCAAGGCGGTGCGAGATGCTAAACAGCTGTATGCAGAGAGACTACAACACCAGTTCTCAAGGAATGACTCTGCTTCTGTCTGGAGAGGCTTCAGACAGATCACCAGCTACAAACATAAATCCCCCCAATCCATGAACAACTCACGCCTTGCCAATGTGTTGAACCAGTTTTACTGTCGCTTTGAAAGACAATGGGACAGACCTGAGACCATCTCCCGTCACACAACTGATCGGCCACAGTCCACCATCTCATCCCCCACCTCCTCCCCCTCTCTTACCATCCTGGAGAGGGAAGTCAACAGACTGTTCAGGAGGTAGAAACCTCGCAAAGCAACTGGTCCAGATTCTGTCTCCACATCCATCCTGAAGAACCAATCAGCTGTCTCTGGTGTTCACAGACATTTTTAACACCTGCCATGACATGCCACATGCCACATGCCACATGCCATGTGCCAGCCTGCTTCAAAGCCTCCTCCATCATCCCTGTCCCTAAGAAACCAAGGACCACTGGACTAAAAGACTACAGACCCATTGCCCTGACATCTGTGGTTATGAAGTCCTTTGAACGCCTTGTGTTGTCCCACCTGAAATTCAATTTCAATTCAATTCAATTCAATTTTATTTATATATCGCCAAATCACAACAACAGTTATCTCACAGCGCTTTTCATAAAAGAGCAGGTCTAGACCGTACTCTATGATGCTATTTACAGAAGCCCAACAGTTCCCACCAAGAGGAAGGCATCCTAGGCATTTGGTAACAGGAAACAATTGTCACATTATTGGTCAGGATATTTATACATTTAACGGCATTTCCAACGAGGGCATGTAATACGTATTTCGTCCACTTGGGGGAGCTCAGGTTACATGAGGAAAGCTTAGATTAAATCAAAGATCATCTCTCCTTAGGAACTGGGAATATTGTTGATTCATCCTTAAATTCAAGCTGGCAATTAAGAGTATAGTAAAACATTTCTTTGCCATCATTTCTAAAGGAATTTTGTAGGAAAGTATTATGAACAAGCATTGATTACATTAGATGAAGGAGTGTCTTGCTAAAAATAAAAACACTGCACAAGTAACTTCCTTTCAGCACTAATATCAACAACAGATAGCAACAACAGTTAACATAACTACTCAAATAGAGGCAAACGTAATCAGGTAACTAAAGATTTAATTAAACTTGATTAAATGCTTTGTGTCTTTGGAGACTGCAGTCTTTTTACATTGAAAGTTCAGTGTCTGGAACATGTCACACTTGGGTGAGACGGGTTTTCCTTTTGATGTGGTAATAAACAAAGAATAAGGTCAGTTGCCACGGAAACGTGTGTGGGGGGCCAGTTTTGATAGGCTGTTCAGGGAAATGCCAATGGCTGGTTCGTGTCCCTTTGTCAGTTTAACAGTCAGGCCCCGCGTTATCAGCTTCGGAATCAAAAAGGTGCCAGTTTTATGGTCGGGATAGCACTTAGAGAAAGCAACTTTGACCCCTCCCCTTCTTCTCTGGGGAGGAGAAAGGAATTTAGAGTAGCTCCAAATTTATTCAATGTAAAATGCACAAATCCACACCGTTGTTCACTACACTGTATAACGAAACTACGGTAATTATGATCATGCAAACACTGAGCCATTTGACCAAGGCCGCAGCAGCAAAGGACAGCCTTAAAAATGAATGTCTTTTAGTACCTTTTTTTCCCCAGAAACACAAAGAAAAATATGAAACTCTTCCGTAAAAAAAATTATAGACCAACAAAGGAAATTACGTACTATAAGCACCACCCAAGGAATTACGTCTTCAGGCCTTTCTTTGTTTAAACTACCAAAGGAAATTACCTACTACCTCTAAATACCACCAAAGGAATAAAGTTTTTTTTTTAATTAGAAGTATCACCATATAGACTATGGAATTACATACTAGGCCTATCTGTGTATCACCATATGAAGTTACATACTATCTGATAGCCATCACCCACTGGAATTACATGTCTATCAACCTATCATCCTTTTTTTTCTTCCAAGGAATGATTCAAAATATCGTACCCACTTTTTAAGTCGATTGGAGCGTCCAGCCGGTCACCACCCGGTCCAAAGTCAGGCGTGTTCCTCTCTCATTTTGCGCGGCGGACTTCCCTACCAGCAAATGTTACCTGTGTTTTGACTCGGGCGTTGATCAGCTGGAATGTCCAGTCCCATCCTCGTCGCCAAAATGTCAGCGGAAAATAATTCCTTCCCAAAGAATATGGAGTCAAACAGATGTGATGAATCATTCTTTAATGTAACATGGCCACGGAGAGAACGCAGGGTTACTCTCCCGAACTCAGCATTTCCTCTCCTTAAATACAGAACAAGTACAAAAAACAACAGCCAACAAATGGTAGAAGAAGGAAATCGAGTGTATGCTAATACACTCAAAATACTCTTCCTGAGCTGATAAAGGAAATGCAAATGTATAAGGCATCAGAGATGTTTCTTTGTCTCCCAATTGATCTATGTTAAAACTCTCACCTACATGCCAGCAGATGTTTATCGTAAATCAGCCATTGATTAGAAACCAATGCTAATTTCTCACAAGTTAGTTACAGAGAAATTCTAAAAATCAGCAACGTATAATGTATTTCTCACATTCTACACCCCTCTAAATTGGAGCCACGCCCCCTATGCAAAATCTGAAACTGGAAAAAAAAGATGTGAAACTGAAAAACTAAGATTTGAAGCTGGAAAAAAAACTTTGATTCTGAAAACATGAAACTGAAAATAATAAGCAAAAATGAAAATTAAAAAATTCAAAATAACTACAGAATTTAATCAACATTTCATTTAACCAAGAAAATAACCTGGTACAATTATTTTTGTTTGAATACATGGCTGTGTTTTTAAAGTTTAAGACCAAAACTCAATTTCAACTTTTAGTTTTTCAATTACAATTTTTTTTTTGGCTCCATACACATCCTCCTTTCATTTGTGCCTGTGCAAAAATTATCTATAACTGCAGACCATAGCAACTCAGAAGTGTCTCTTTTGATCTTGATTTGTTTTCCTTCATGGATTATCCATGTTCACCTGTCTCTTTGTCATAAAACCCGTAATAGCTCGGCCTGAAAGTTAAAGTGAAACTTAAGTTCTGCCTGCTTTCGTTTCCTTGCTAGCTTTCTTTGAGTACTCCTTTCTATTGTTTGAGAAGTTTATATTGAGCTTAACCCAGCAGTGCATGAGTTCACAAACGGACACGATCAGTTCACTACAAAACATGAGCAGTAACAACAATAAGTTAAGGAGCATCTTTAGCAAGAAGGGCCAGTATAGGATAGAAAATTATTTTTATGAACGTTGATTCATGCCAAGTTAACATACAGCATGTGTATATAAGACAAGACACTTAACATAAGGTCTGGCACGCCTGTCACTGGAACTTTTTAACTGCCAGTTTTGTTTTAGGATTAACTGGCAATCAACCTATCTGTCTTTATGGTATGAGGACAGGTTGGGTTTAATGCACTGGAATGCAGACACTGGTGTGAATGAATTAAATGTAAGATGACAAATTCCGAGAAATCCACACCGGTTGGGTTTGTTGTATAAACAAAATACAAAAGCAAAGAAAGAGAGAGTCATTAAAATATTTTTGCTCTCACATGTAACAATGAATCATTACTCGTACTGCAGCATTCCAGAAAAAGAAATTGCCTTTGTTTTCAGTCTGATGTCATCTCAAACATGTTTATAAAGAGGAGCTGAAATCAGAGAGATCACAGCTTCATTCACAGCAGTGAACAACATTTACGCAGAAAATATTAACATGTAAGTACTTCTGTCTTGTTATGCTGCTTCATTAAAGCAATGTAATTTGTTTGTTTTTGCAAGAATATTTAATATTGTCATCTAGAGTACAGAACAGAAATGTTTGCGGCCAGGTATAATAACTTCACTTTTGTCTGAGTTTAACGTCAGAAAATTGCAGGTCATCCAGGTTTTTATGTCCTCAAGGCAAGTTTGATATTCAGCTAGTTTAGAAGTTTTCACACAATTTTATATGAAACACTGAGCCACATCGAATGTATGAAAAGTGCTATACAAATACAGTTACGTACAAAATACATAATAGTATAGTATTATTATTTTAACATTACTTTTTATTTATCAAGAAATTTAAATACTTCTGAAAAATTTGTCGGAATAGTAACTGAACCTTGAAGGGTGTATACTGTTTTAAAATTAAAAATACATTTATAATATTGTAAGAGGTAAGTTAAATATTTCAACACACATTGAAATACAAGTACAGGTGTAAACAATTTTAGTTTGTGTTCAGAGCATAGACAATATTTGTAAAGTTATCAGCTGCTGTAGATACCTTTTAGTAATGATATTTGGCAATAAATTAAATTAATAGTCAGCCAAAGAAGAAACGATAATAGTCATTCCTTAACTGTTATCTAGCAGGGCAGAACCAGGAGAGGTTGAAGATGTTTTATTTGTCGTGTTTGTTTTAATTACTGATTCAGAAGCTTTAAGGTTTTATTTTATTTGGCAGTTCAATGAAAACAGGTGTGCTGAAAATGAGAAACAATTTCAGTCAGCTTTTACTCTTCTGTTTAAATGAAAAGAACCATTTTCAGCTTTTCATTTACTTGTTGAAAATCACCAATTTTATCTTGACCACACAGAAGAAACTATCACTGCATCACCATGATTGCAAAGATTTGTGTCGTCCTTCTTCTGTTTGTTGGTAAGAGAAACTTTCATTCAAAATAAAGATCTAAACTTGCCTCGTCTTGCCTAAAAACAGTTTGAAATGTTGGACTAAAGGCGAAACTGATTTGATATTTTCCGCTCAAAACAGCCTCTGGCAACGCACAGACCACAACCAGAACCACCAGGGCTGCACCAACAACCAGAACCACCACGGCTGCACCAACAACCAGAACCACCACAGCTGCACCAACAACCAGAGCCACCACGGCTGCACCAACAACCAGAACCACCACAGCTGCACCAACAACCAGAGCCACCACGGCTGCACCAACAACCAGAACCACCACGGCTGCACCAACAACCAGAACCACCACGGCTGCACCAACAACCACAGCCACCACAACTGCACCAACAGCCACCACGACTGCACCAACAACCACAGCCACCACAACTGCACCATCAGCCACCACGACTGCACCAACAACCAGAACCACCACGACTGCACCAACAGCCAGAACCACCACGACTGCACCAACAGCCACCACGACTGCACCAACAACCACAGCCACCACGGCTGCACCAACAACCAGAACCACCACGACTGCACCAACAGCCACCACGACTGCACCAACAACCACAGCCACCACAACTGCACCAACAACCACAGCCACCACAACTGCACCAACAGCCACCACGACTGCACCAACAACCACAGCCGCCACGGTTGCTCCAACAACCAGAACCACCACGGCTGCACCAACAACCACAGCCACCACAACTGCACCAACAGCCACCACGACTGCACCAACAACCACAGCCGCCACGGTTGCTCCAACAACCAGAACCACCACGGCTGCACCAACAACCACAGCCACCACAACTGCACCAACAGCCACCACGACTGCACCAACAACCACAGCCGCCACGGCTGCACCAACAACCACAGCCACCACAACTGCACCAACAGCCACCACGACTGCACCAACAACCACAGCCGCCACGGTTGCTCCAACAACCAGAACCACCACGGCTGCACCAACAACCACAGCCACCACAACTGCACCAACAGCCACCACGACTGCACCAACAACCACAGCCGCCACGGTTGCTCCAACAACATCACCACCCACAACCATAATTTGTGATACCAGCACGGCTGGACCAACAACCACACCCTTAATCACAACCACAACCCCACTCATATATGATGATATCTTCACGGATGGACCAACAACCCCAACCAGCACGGCTGGTTGTGAGACCAACAAGGCCAGACCAACATGTAGTGTGGAGTGTGTTTGTAAATGTTAATCTCTGACATGTCATCACCCGTGTCTCTGATGGAGGTGTCTATAATTAATCAAACTGTCTGTGATTGGAGGACTCTGTAATGTTCTGGTTCAGAGGATTGTGAGTGAATCTGCTTTTTATCTGTAATTGCATAAAAAAGATGATCTACAATAAAGGTTTACAATAAAGGTTATTCTTTAAAGTTTTTCCAAATTACTTTAATATTTGTTTAAGACTTTATTTGGAAATTGTAAGTGTCAATTACAATCAAAATATCTGTAATTTCCATCATCATTATTATGTATACAGTGTATATTTATAGGGTAAGCCCTAACCCCACACGGTTGCCCCTGTCCAGGAGGTAGAGGTCCAGATCTCCATCTTAAAGGGTCCGATTAGCCGGACCTACGGGTATTACCCTATTAGGTGAAACTGAGGACTATATAAGCTGGTGTTGAAGAGATTCGTCTAGATTCTGACTGTCTTCATCTGGACTACCCTGCTTACTCTGAAATAGGAACCTCACTTTATAGCCCAAGAGCCAAATACCACCTCAGCCACCTCCGTAATGACAGCTCTCTCCTCTGATCAGTTCACTTGGTATGGTTGCTCAACACGGTCTCACTCCCTACTCGTCAAATGTCTGACGCATGGTCAAGGCCCTTTGTCGTCGCTTTTTAAAGACTTGGGTAGCCCTTTTGCATCAATTATTGACGTTTAGGGACCCACAGTCAAGTTAGCAACGCTTAGCAACAATAAATATGCAATATCCGGTTACACTTTCAAGATAAAACCTAACGTTTCGATACATTGCCATGTTGAAACGCGCATTATTAAAGTTGTGAAACGTTGCGTACTTGGTTGGGTTTAGGCAACAAAACTGCTTGGTTAAGGTTAGGAAAAGATCATGGTTTGGGTTAAAATAGCTATGTATGTCAATTAAGACTTAAGTTAACTAACGTTAATGTCAATTTACCTCACTCGCCTAAATAAAAACATTTAATGTTTTGTTTCGCACGGGACACAAACCCTGTTCTCCTGCTTCAAGGTCCGGGTTCTGGCCCTCTATCCACCCCAATCACCTCCTTACTTCATCTTTTCTCTTAAATATCATACTTGCCTTTACCATCAAAAACTGACACAACAGGGCTTCCCTCAATACGTCGAACTATGACGTCAAAGGGATCCCTAGTGCGTCACAAACTGACGATTATGGCTCTTGACGTAGCGTTTGGGTTGCTAGGATATTATTAAGTGTCCAGGAAAATAGGCCCCAAGAATAAGTTCATTTCTTTAGCTATAACAACCTTAAAATATGTTAAACACACTATTACTAATGAATTACTGCCTTGGTGAAGAAATAAGTTAAATTACTGATCAAAACTGATAAAAATGTTTGAAATGCAAAACCTGATTAAAAAGTATTTTAGATGTCTCCATTTTGGGGAGAAAGGGACGGGAATAAGATGTCCAGCCAGCAGATCTCTTTCTCTTCTGCGGATCTGTAGAATCTTGATGATGATGATGATGAATCTTGAATGATGCAGATGAACAAGGGAAACTTCCAATATTTCTTTGTATGATTTGGATTTGGTTATCATCTGTCGCTCAATCTCTTGAATTCCACTGAAGAAAACTCTGAAGTGTTCTCTAGTTGTTTGCTGTTCAAATCCCTAAAACTCTTATTTTGGTCCGATGCGGTGATGATCTTGCTCCAAACCTGGTGCCTTGAGATCCACCGAGGAATAACGGCGATCTGTCTCCTACTCCTTTATACATTCTTTCTTCAGGTTGTCTTTGGGTGTAATTGTGTGTGTGTTGGAGTCAGGATTTGTCCATGTTTGGTCATTCTACTTCTGATTTTCTGTCCCTGTCTTTGCTACTGACTCATAGTCATGTCTTCACCCAAACTCAGCAACCTTTTGCACAGTTGTTTAACCTTTACCCTAATTCTCCTTACTTTGACCATATTAATTATTTTACCTTGAAATTATCATTTTAATGTTTTCATGTTCATTATCAATCAGATATCCTCTTTTTCAATCATCATTAATTTAATTGCTCATAGCTCTGTGTTTTGCTGATGGAAGTATGTTGCACTTTCCTTTTCTCACTGACTGTTGTTACTAAAGGGAGAAAGGCTCCAGTTTTCTCCTTTGTGAACTTATAGCAAAACCATTGTGATCTCTACTTATTTGAAAATACACACACACACACACACACACACACACACACACCTATATATACACATATGTTTATACTTTTATATGGCATGTCTTACTGACATGGAGTTTATGTGGAGTTGCTGTGTTGTGGTAAAACTGAGGCTTCAGAAAAGGAGTTTTAAGTTTTAAGGTAAACAGTTACCAGGTTAGGTTATATCTGCTAATTTAGTGTATGATGTCAGTGATCTGACCATGATTATTGACTTGGCCTTTTATCTATTGTAATGGAGACCAGCAGTTCCATTACCTTAAATCATTGAGTATCTATGTTTGGATAATTGATTAAGCAGGAGGTCATACACATACTGATTTTGATTATTTATTTAGTTAGTGAAATATTTGATAACTGACACATGACCTGAAAGAATCACTTGACTGGTTCACCGTCCAAATAGGTGATTCACTGGCACTGCCTCATCTTGATTTCTAGAAATCTTTGATAGATATTGATTGTAAAATAATATATATTTTGAACCTCTTTATTTCTATAGTAAATATTACATTCATAAGTGCAAATGGCCCAAGAAGAAAACACAATTACCACATTTTAAGATTAATTAAACATATTGAAACTTTATATGGTATTAAAAAAAGTAAAGCAATGAAAACAAGTAATAAATGAAAAGATTTAAATATTTTTCCTTAATGCCTTTGTGTTTGTTTGTTACATGACATTGCCCCTTTGTTTATAGTTGTGTCCTGTTCTATTTTTCTGTTTTATGTAGTTTTGTTTTAGCATTTACAGGAGGAGAAGGCGTGGTACATGAGCCTGCGCTGATAGCCACAGGAAACAGGTGTGCCAATTGTAGATTGCCCGCAGCTGGGATGATCGCCAAAGCACCAGAGGCACAGCCCACAACTCCGCCCTGAGAGAGAGGAAGGTACAGACGAGCGAGAGGGAGAGGGAGAGAAAGCCAGAGGAACACAAAGACAAACGCAAACCAAAACCCACCAAGCACCACACACTCGCTCAAAAGGAAAAATAAACTCAAAAACACACCCCCTGTCACCTCCCTGCCTGTGGCATCGTGACAGAATTCAAGATTCAAAAAGAATCTTCTTCACCATCCCATATTATCAACCTCTGCCACAGTTACACAAGCGCAACCAACCTATGCCATATTTTCCCAGCACTCTCTCCTCAATAACACAATACACACATTCATTCATCTTTATTTGTAAATAGAACATGATATCCAGTCTTCGTGTTTGTGTGTGTGCATCAAATCACTTTCAGAGCAAAGATTAAATCCATCAAAGCAAAGATGTTTCAGAACAAAAGGTCTTTTCTACAAAAGTAAAGTACTTTCTCCAACACTGCTCATTGAAGTGTGTTAGATGTTAGTGTGTGTGTGTGTGTGTGTGTGTGTGTGTAATTAAAAGCGTCCTGTCCACCAACAAGCCTGCCTAATTTGATGGCAGTCTTGCATTTAGCCAGGAGAGGTCACAGTAACTGAAGCTTTGAGTCATGAACGCATTTTTGAAACAGTTGGCTCAACTGGTTCAGTGTTTGACAAAAGCTTCATTTGCCCCTTAACTAGTGGTAGGCTCAGGGCCGGCCCTGACAGGGGTGGAGCCCCAGGCGAGATTTGCTCTATTTTTGTATGGTGTATTCTATATGATAGTGGTCCCACTTGAGTGGTTTTGTTCACTTAATTACCTGCAGAAAGGAGTGTAAATGTGGTAGAGACCATCTTACCTCTCATTTCATTTCATTGCACATATTTCCTCACCATCCTCATCTCACTTTCCTTCCTTTACCTCTTCTTCCGTCTTGACCCTCTTTCATAACTCCTCCTGCAGTGGAGTTGTGTTGTTGATGGAGAACCCGGGCTTGCTTCTCTGAATTATTCAGAAACATTAAAGTCACGCTTGTGTTAACAAGAGTCTCTCTGCCATGTTTTATTTAGTCCCAGATACACTGAGGAGAACACATGCTTCAGTGCTGTGCTTATTTTATATTGAAGTGTTACTGCAATTATTTTTAAGTTTGGAGTTTAGACAAAATCTTAAATATTACGTGTCTGTCCAACCTGCATTGGTGGATGAAGTATTCATATCATTTACTTAAGTAAAAGTAGCCTACTAATACCTCACTGTAAAACTACTCAGTTAAAAGTAATAGTATTGTATTGGCTTTGTTACTTAAGTAAGAGTATGTAGGTATCAGGACAGTGTACACTTTTAAAAAATAAAACTACTCAATGACATACCAAAAATGTCCTGTGACTTGTATATATTCTATCATCAGATTACTATTACATGCATAAATGTAAAAGCAGGATTTTCCTGTTTTAGTTGGAGGTGAAGTTTATAATGTAGACACAAAATCTTAAATATAATGTTCAGGTCATGATTGGTTTGCCATTTTCTAGCATTGTTTAGATTAATCAGATTTGCAAACTGTATTGATACTCTGAAACAGATGTATTTCTATATGTTTACATATACTAAATAAAAGACAGCTATATTGGTAAAACATAAACACCTTTGCAAATAAGTTACACATTACTAAAGTCTTTACTGAGACGTTTGTTGAGTTTTAATGGACAACCTGATTTAGAACTTGTTTTTGAATACTAGAAAGAAAAGAACAAAATATGTTGAAAACAAAAAACGTTTTATTTGTGCTTGAGAAAATAGGATAGAATATCTTGCAGCCTTGCATGTCTACTGTTATGAGCAGTTTGGGATTAATTGACTAATCAGAAAGCAGGTGACTGTGCCTGGAGCTGGAGCGTTGCTGGGGTTGGTGTGAGTTCATATGTATATAGATACTGAGTCATCTTTAATTATACTGGATGTGTGGATCGATGTGTTAGTGCCTTTAATAGTGCTCCAGCTGTCATCAGACAGTCCGTCCACCAGGTGGTGACATTTGAAGCCTCCATCTTCAGTTTCGGTCACTGCTGTCAGACTCTGTTCTACACCTGAACACACAGAGGTACTAACACTCATTACTCATGTTTCACAATGCTGACCCGCTCCATGTGTCACAAATATTTTATCTGTTTAAGAAATTAGCTTCAAAGAAAATTCCTGAAGCTGTAATGAACAGTTACCAAGCTTCCCAGACCAGCCTCAAGCAGAAAATCCTCTGAAGTGGAAGGAACAAAAATGAAGGTCTGCCCAACCTCCAGTGATGAAGTATACTTTTTAAGTAAAAGTAGGCTATTAATACCTCATTGTAAAAATACTGTGTTAAGGTACTGCATTGAAAATGTTACTTTAGTAAAAGTATGTAAGTATAATCAGGACAATGTATGTATTTAATGTAAACGTCAATGCAGAATGAAAAATGCACTTTTACAATTACCATAATAGTTGCCAATAAAATTTCTGTCAATCAACTAATCATGTCAGTTGTACTTGTATAAACTGTTGGATAGTTTAATTTATAACAAATCATATTTCCATTATTATTTACAAACGTTTAAATGTAAAAATCAAATATTTTGAAGTAGTAGGCCGAACTGAAGCTGTCAGATATGACCTAAATGTCCATCCATTCATCCATCGTCAACCGCTTATCCTGCGTACAGGGTCGCGGGGGGACTGGAGCCAATCCCAGCTGACATCGGGCGCAAAGCGGGGTACACCCTGGACAGGTTGCCAGTCCATCGCAGGATGACCTAAATGTAGTGAAGAAAAATATACAACATCTCCCTCTGATGGAGCAGTAGAAGTAGAAAGTAGCATGAAAAGAAAATACTCAAGTAAATGTACTTAGGCTACAGTCCACTAGGCCTACTGCCAACCTGGTCAGAATTTATATAAATATATATATAAATTTGTCTAGGTAGTTGATATCAGACAGATGCACACAAAAGAAGCTTCACATTTCTAGTTGGCAAACCGCCTGGAATGACATCCTGGCACATTTGACCAGCTGTGGCTAGCTAGCTAATTAAGCTAACATTATAGCTCCATGAGTTGGTTGAAAACTACATCTTCAGCTGACTTCTTCCACCTCACTTATGGCTGCTTAGCGTATACACTCTTGGTATTATCAAAATGTATGTTTGCACTTTTAACGTTGCTATTGTTAATGTTTTAGCTATCTAAAATGGCAGTGGTCGTAGCAATAATAAAATGTAAAAATACTCTTCTACAAGGAAAAGTCCTGCATTCAAAATGAAGTACAGCAGTACTAGCATTAAAATATACTTAAAGTACCAAAAGTTAAATCTCATTATGAATGGCCCATTTCAGAAATAGACTATATTACTGTAATATAATGCATTGATGTATTTAATGTAAATTTTAAGTAGGCTACTTTATATACTGTGGGGTAACTTTATCTGTAAAAAATAATTATTTGATATATTTTGAATTAATAATCTAAATCTGCAAAGTAACTTGTAACTAAACATATCAAATTTCATTTGTGCCTGTGCAAAAATTATCTATAACTGCAGACCAAAGGAACTCAGAAGTGTCTCTTTAGATCTTGATTTGTTTGCCTTCATGGATTATCCATGTTCACCTGTCTCTTTGTCATAAAACCCGTAATAGCTCGGCCTGAAAGTTAAAGTGAAACTTAAGTTCTGCCTGCTTTCGTTTCCTTGCTAGGTTTCTTTGAGTACTCCTTTCTATTGTTTGAGTAGTTTATATTGAGCTTAACCCAGCAGTGCATGAGTTCACAAACGGACACGATCAGTTCACTACAAAACATGAGCAGTAACAACAATAAGTTAAGGAGCAGAAAATTATTTTTATGAACGTTGATTCATGCCAAGTTAACATACAGCATGTGTATACAAGACAAGACACTTAACATAAGGTCTGGCACGCCTGTCACTGGAACTTTTTAACTGCCAGTGTTGTTTTAGGATTTACTGGCAATCAACCTATCTGTCTTTATGGTATGAGGACAGGTTGGGTTTAATGCACTGGAATGCAGACACTGGTGTGAATGAATTAACAGTAAGATGACAAATTCCGAGAAATCCACACCGGTTGGGTTTGTTGCATAATCAAAATACAAAAGCAGAGAAAGAGAGAGTCATTAAAATATTTTTGCTCTCACATGTAACAATGAATCATTACTCGTACTGCAGCATTCCAGAAAAAGAAATTGCCTTTGTTTTCAGTCTGATGTCATCTCAAACATGTTTATAAAGAGGAGCTGAAATCAGAGAGATCACAGCTTCATTCACAGCAGTGAACAACATTTACGCAGAAAATATTAACATGTAAGTACTTCTGTCTTGTTATGCTGCTTCATTAAAGCAATGTAATTTGTTTGTTTTTGCAAGAATATTTAATATTGTCATCTAGAGTACTATATCTTTAGATAATGTATTTCAGAAATGTTTGCGGGCAGGTATAATAACTTCACTTTTGTCTGAGTTTAACATCAGAAAATTGCAGGTCATCCAGGTTTTTATGTCCTCAAGGCAAGTTTGATATTCAGCTAGTTTAGAAGTTTTCACACAATTTTATATGAAACACTGAGCCACATCGAATGTATGAAAAGTGCTATACAAATACAATGCCGTACAAAATACATAATAGTATAGTATTATTATTTTAACATTACTTTTTATTTATCAAGAAATTTAAATACTTCTGAAAAATTTGTCGGAATAGTAACTGAACCTTGAAGGGTGTATACTGTTTTAAAATTAAAAATACATTTATAATATTGTAAGAGGTAAGTTAAATATTTTAACACACATTGAAATACAAGTACAGGTGTAAACAATTTTAGTTTGTGTTCAGAGCATAGACAATATTTGTAAAGTTATCAGCTGCTGTAGATACCTTTTAGTAATGATATTTGGCAATAAATTAAATTAATAGTCAGCCAAAGAAGAAACGATAATAGTCATTCCTTAACTGTTATCTAGCAGGGCAGAACCAGGAGAGGTTGAAGATGTTTTATTTGTCGTGTTTGTTTTAATTACTGATTCAGAAGCTTTAAGGTTTTATTTTATTTGGCAGTTCAGTGAAAACAGGTGTGCTGAAAATGAGAAACAATTTCAGTCAGTTTTTACTCTTCTGTTTAAATGAAAAGAACCATTTTCAGCTTTTCATTTACTTGTTGAAAATCACCACTTTTATTTTGACCACACAGAAGAAACTATCACTGCATCACCATGATTGCAAAGATTTGTGTCGTCCTTCTTCTGTTTGTTGGTAAGAGAAACTTTCATTCAAAATAAAGATCTAAACTTGCCTCGTCTTGCCTAAAAACAGTTTGAAATGTTGGACTAAAGGCGAAACTGATTTGATATTTTCCGCTCAAAACAGCCTCTGGCAACGCACAGACCACAACCAGAACCACCAGGGCTGCACCAACAACCAGAACCACCACGGCTGCACCAACAACCAGAACCACCAGGGCTGCACCAACAACCAGAACCACCACAGCTGCACCAACAACCAGAACCACCACGGCTGCACCAACAACCAGAACCACCACGGCTGCACCAACAACCAGAACCACCACAGCTGCACCAACAACCAGAACCACCACGGCTGCACCAACAACCAGAACCACCACAGCTGCACCAACAACCACCACGTCTGCAACAACAACCACACAAACAACATCACCACCAACAACCACACCCTTAATCACAACCCCACTCATATATGATGATATCTTCCCGGATGGACCAACAACCACCACGTCTGCAACAACAACCACACAAACAACATCACCACCAACAACCACACCCTTAATCACAACCCCACTCATATATGATGATATCTTCCCGGATGGACCAACAACCCCAACCAGCACAGCTGGACCAACAACCACACCCTTAATCACAACCCCACTCATATATGATGATATCTTCACGGATGGACCAACAACCCCAACCAGCACGGCTGGTTGTGAGACCAACAAGGCCAGACCAACATGTAGTGTGGAGTGTGTTTGTAAATGTTAATCTCTGACATGTCATCACCCGTGTCTCTGATGGAGGTGTCTATAATTAATCAAACTGTCTGTGATTGGAGGATTCTGTAATGTTCTGGTTCAGAGGATTGTGAGTGAATCTGCTTTTTGTCTGTAATTGCATAAAAAAGATGATCTACAATAAAGGTTTACAATAAAGGTTATTCTTTAAAGTTTTTCCAAATTACTTTAATATTTGTTTAAGACTTTATTTGGAAATTGTAAGTGTCAATTACAATCAAAATATCTGTAATTTACATCATCATTATTATGTAGACAGTATATATTTATAGGGTAAGCCCTAACCCCACACGGTTGCCCCTGTCCAGGAGGTAGAGGTCCAGATCTCCATCTTAAAGGGTCCGATTAGCCGGACCTACGGGTATTACCCTATTAGGTGAAACTGTGGACTATATAAGCTGGTGTTGAAGAGATTCGCCTAAATTCTGACTGTCTTCATCCGGACTAGCCTGCTTACTCTGAAATAGGAACCTCACTTTATAGCCCAAGAGCCAAATACCACCTCAGCCACCTCCGTAATGACAGCTCTCTCCTCACTGATCAGTTCACTTGGTATGGTTGCTAAGATAATATTAAGTGTCCAGGAAAATAGGCCCCAAGAATAAGTTCATTTCTTTAGCTATAACAACCTTAAAATATGTTAAACACACTATTACTAATGAATTACTGCCTTGGTGAATAAATAAGTTAAATTACTGATCAAAACTGATAAAAATGTTTGAAATGCAAAACCTGATTAAAAAGTATTTTAGATGTCTCCATTTTGGAGAGAAAGGGACGGGAATAAGATGTCCAGCCAGCAGATCTCTTTCTCTTCTGCGGATCTGTAGAATCTTGTAGAAACTCGAGGCTTTGTCCGAAGCCCTCAAAATGTCTAAAAGTTTTCAGTCCATGATGCAGATGAACAAGGGAAACTTCCAATATTTCTTTGTATGGTTTGGATTTGGTTATCATCTGTCGCTCAATCTCTTGAATTCCACTGAAGAAAACTCTGAAGTGTTCTCTAGTTGTTTGCTGTTCAAATCCCTAAAACTCTTATTTTGGTCCGATGCGGTGATGATCTTGCTCCAAACCTGGTGCCTTGAGATCCACCGAGGAATAACGGCGATCTGTCTCCTACTCCTTTATATATTCTTTCTTCAGGTTGTCTTTGGGTGTAATTGTGTGTGTGTTGGAGTCAGGATTTGTCCATGTTTGGTCGTTCTACTTCTGATTTTCCGTCCCTGTCTCTGCTACTGACTCATAGTCATGTCTTCACCCAAACTCAGCAACCTTTTGCACAGTTGTTTAACCTTTACCCTAATTCTCCTTACTTTGACCATATTAATTATTTTACCTTGAAATTATCATTTTAATGTTTTTATGTTCATTATCAATTACATATCCTCTTTTTCAGTCATCACTAATGTCATTGCTTATAGCATTGCTAAGCTCTGTGTTTTACAGATGGATGTACTGTAAGTTGCACTTTCCTTTTCTCACTCACTGTTGTTACTAAAAGGCTCCAGCTTTCTCCTTTGTGAACTTATAGCAAAACCATTGTGATCTCTACTTATTTGAAAATATACACACACACACACACACACACACACACACACACACACACACACACACACACACACTATATATACACATATGTTTATACTTTTATATGGCATGTCTTACTGACATGGAGTTTATGTGGAGTTGCTGTGTTGTGGTAAAACTGAGGCTTCAGAAAAGGAGTTTTAAGTTTTAAGGTAAACAGTTACCAGGTTAGGTTATATCTGCTAATTTAGTGTATGATGTCAGTGATCTGACCATGATTATTGACTTGGCCTTTTATCTATTGTAATGGAGACCAGCAGTTCCATTACCTTAAATCATTGAGTATCTATGTTTGGATAATTGATTAAGCAGGAGGTCATACACATACTGATTTTGATTATTTATTTAGTTAGTGAAATATTTGATAACTGACACATGACCTGAAAGAATCACTTGACTGGTTCACCGTCCAAATAGGTGATTCACTGGCACTGCCTCATCTTGATTTCTAGAAATCTTTGATAGATATTGATTGTAAAATAATATATTTTGAACCTCTTTATTTCTATAGTAAATATTACATTCATAAGTGCAAATGGCCCAAGAAGAAAACACAATTACCACATTTTAAGATTAATTAAACATATTGAAACTTTATATCGTTTTAAAAAAAGTAAAGCAATGAAAACAAGTAATAAATGAAAAGATTTAAATATTTTTCCTTAATGCCTTTGTGTTTGTTTGTTACATGACATTGCCCCTTTGTTTATAGTTGTGTCCTGTTCTATTTTTCTGTTTTATGTAGTTTTGTTTTAGCATTTACAGGAGGCTGGTATAAGCACAAAAGAGGAGAAGGCGTGGTACATGAGCCTGCGCTGATAGCCACAGGAAACAGGTGTGCCCGCAGCTGGGATGATCGCCAAAGCACCAGAGGCACAGCCCACAACTCCGCCCTGAGAGAGAGGAAGGTACAGACGAGCGAGAGGGAGAGGGAGAGAAAGCCAGAGAAACACAAAGACCAACGCAAACCAAAACCCACCAAGCACCACACACTCGCTCAAAAGGAAAAATAAACTCAAAAACACACCCCCTGTCACCTCCCTGCCTGTGGCGTCGTGACAGAATTCAAGATTCAAAAAGAATCTTCTTCACCATCCCATATTATCAACCTCTGCCACAGTTACACAAGCGCAACCAACCTATGCCATGTTTTCCCAGCACTCTCTCCTCAATAACACAATACACACATTCATTCATCTTTATTTGTAAATAGAACATGATATCCAGTCTTCGTGTTTGTGTGTGTGCATCAAATCATTTTCAGAGCAAAGATTAAATCCATCAAAGCAAAGATGTTTCAGAACAAAAGGTCTTTTCTACAAAAGTAAAGTACTTTCTCCAACACTGCTCAATGAAGTGTGTTAGTGTGTGTGTGTGTGTGTGTGTGTGTGTGTGTGTGTGTGTGTGTGTAATTAAAAGCGTCCTGTCCACCAACAAGCCTGCCTAATTTGATGGCAGTCTTGCATTTAGCCAGGAGAGGTCACAGTAACTGAAGCTTTGAGTCATGAACGCATTTTTGAAACAGTTGGCTCAACTGGTTCAGTGTTTGACAAAAGCTTCATTTGCCCCTTAACTAGTGGTAGGCTCAGGGCCGGCCCTGACAGGGGTGGAGCCCCAGGCGAGATTTGCTCTATTTTTGTATGGTGTATTCTATATGATAGTGATCCCACTTGAGTGGTTTTGTTCACTTAATTACCTGCAGAAAGGAGTGTAAATGTGGTAGAGACCATCTTACCTCTCATTTCATTTCATTGCACATATTTCCTCACCATCCTCATCTCACTTTCCTTCCTTTACCTCTTCTTCCGTCTTGACCCTCTTTCATAACTCCTCCTGCAGTGGAGTTGTGTTGTTGATGGAGAACCCGGGCTTGCTTCTCTGAATTATTCAGAAACATTAAAGTCACGCTTGTGTTAACAAGAGTCTCTCTGCCATGTTTTATTTAGTCCCAGATACACTGAGGAGAACACATGCTTCAGTGCTGTGCTTATTTTATATTGAAGTGTTACTGCAATTATTTTTAAGTTTGGAGTTTAGACAAAATCTTAAATATTACGTGTCTGTCCAACCTGCATTGGTGGATGAAGTATTCATATCATTTACTTAAGTAAAAGTAGCCTACTAATACCTCACTGTAAAACTACTCAGTTAAAAGTAATAGTATTGTATTGGCTTTGTTACTTAAGTAAGAGTATGTAGGTATCAGGACAGTGTACACTTTTAAAAAATAAAACTACTCAATGACATACCAAAAATGTCCTGTGACTTGTATATATTCTATCATCAGATTACTATACATGCATAAATGTAAAAGCAGGATTTTCCTGTTTTAGTTGGAGGTGAAGTTTATAATGTAGACACAAAATCTTAAATATAATGTTCAGGTCATGATTGGTTTGCCATTTTCTAGCATTGTTTAGATTAATCAGATTTGCAAACTGTATTGATACTCTGAAACAGATGTATTTCTATATGTTTACATATACTAAATAAAAGACAGCTATATTGGTAAAACATAAACACCTTTGCAAATAAGTTACACATTACTAAAGTCTTTACTAAGACGTTTGTTGAGTTTTAATGGACAACCTGATTTAGAACTTGTTTTTGAATACTAGAAAGAAAAGAACAAAATATGTTGAAAACAAAAAACGTTTTATTTGTGCTTGAGAAAATAGGATAGAATATCTTGCAGCCTTGCATGTCTACTGTTATGAGCAGTTTGGGATTAATTGACTATTCAGAAAGCAGGTGACTGTGCCTGGAGGTGGAGCGTTGCCGGGGTTGGTGTGAGTTCATATGTATATAGATACTGAGTCATCTTTAATTATACTGGATGTGTGGATCGATGTGTTAGTGCCTTTAATAGTGCTCCAGCTGTCATCAGACAGTCCGTCCACCAGGTGGTGACATTTGAAGCCTCCATCTTCAGATGACCCGCTCCATGTGTCACAAATATTTTTATCTGTTTAAGAAATTAGCTTCAAAGAAAATTCTTGAAGCTGTAATGAACAGTTACCAAGCTTCCCAGACCAGCCTCAAGCAGAAAATCCTCTGAAGTGGAAGGAACAAAAATGAAGGTCTGCCCAACCTCCAGTGATGAAGTATACTTTTTAAGTAAAAGTAGGCTACTAACACCTCATTGTAAATATACTGTGTTAAGGTACTGCATTGAAAATGTTACTTTAGTAAAAGTATGTAAGTATAATCAGGACAATGTATGTATTTAATGTAAACGTCAATGCAGAATGAAAAATGCACTTTTACAATTACCATAATAGTTGCCAATAAAATTTCTGTCAATCAACTAATCATGTCAGTTGTACTTGTATAAACTGTTGGATAGTTTAATTTATAACAAATCATATTTCCATTATTATTTACAAACGTTTAAATGTAAAAATCAAATATTTTGAAGTAGTAGGCCGAACTGAAGCTGTCAGATATGACCTAAATGTCCATCCATTCATCCATCGTCAACCGCTTATCCTGCGTACAGGGTCGCGGGGGGACTGGAGCCAATCCCAGCTGACATCGGGCGCAAGGCGGGGTACACCCTGGACAGGTTGCCAGTCCATCGCAGGATGACCTAAATGTAGTGAAGAAAAATATACAACATCTCCCTCTGATGGAGCAGTAGAAGTAGAAAGTAGCATGAAAAGAAAATACTCAAGTAAATGTACTTAGGCTAAAGTCCACTAGGCCTACTGCCAACCTGGTCAGAATTTATATAAATATAATATAATATAAATTTGTCTAGGTAGTTGATATCAGACAGATGCAAATGTATGTTTGCACTTTTGATGTTGCTATTGTTAATGTTTTAGCTATCTAAAATGGCAGTGGTGGTAGCAATAATAAAATGTAAAAATACTCTTCTACAAGGAAAAGTCCTGCATTCAAAATGAAGTACAGCAGTACTAGCATTAAAATATACTTAAAGTACCAAAAGTTAAATCTCATTATGAATGGCCCATTTCAGAAATAGACTATATTACTGTAATATAATGCATTGATGTGTTTAATGAAAATTTTAAGTAGGCTACTTTATATACTGTGGGGTAACTTTATCTGTAAAAATTAATTAATTGATGTATTTTGAATTAATAATCTAAATCTGCAAAATAACTTGTAACTAAACATATCAAATAAATTTAGTAGAGTAAAAAGTACTTTTTTGGTCCCAAGATGTAGTGTAGTAGTATGGAAATAAGTAAAGTACCTCAGAATTGTGTGCGAGACACCACTGTCTAAGAAACATTATTATTATTCTATTTTATACCAAGCCCGTTAACCACAGATTCCATAAATTAGCATTTTCCACGTAGAAGTATAACTGGTCTTTACAAAACTCTCCATATTGAATCATATCGTTTGAGAGTTTGTTTTCTGAAAGCACATGTTAAGCTAAATTGTGTAATTTTCCTCAACCTTGATAGTTAGATACAGTTAAACAGTTAGATCGTCATAGTCTTACAAACTGTTTCTTAGGTCTTACAACAAACAGAGTTTTTATAAAAAACTCTGTATGTTGTAATGTTGTAGTGTGTTATTGTGTTATTGTGTTATAGTGTTTGTAACTGAGTAGCCTAATTTTACTCAAGTATTAGGGGGAGTGTTATTGTATATAGCAAATAGCCAGACATTTACAGAAGAGTTTATTAAAAAATAATAATCATGGATTTATTTTAAATATATAGTAATATGTGTGACGGACTAGTATTTCACTCACATTTACTAGTGTACTTTTACTACACAAGTGTCAACTGAGTTATTATTATGTAATATACACTGCTCAAAAAAATAAAGGGAACACTTAAACAACACAATGTAACTCCAAGTCAATCACGCTGCTGTGAAATCAAACTGTCCACTTAGGAAGCAACACTGATTGACAATCAGTTTCACATGCTGTTGTGCAAATGGAATAGACAACAGGTGGAAATTATAGACAATTAGCAAGACACCAGCAATAAAGGAGTGGTTCTGCAGGTGGTGACCACAGACCACTTCTCAGTTCCTATGCTTCCTGGCTGATGTTTTGGTCACTTTTGAATGCTGGCGGTGCTTTCACTCTAGTGGCAGCATGAGACGGAGTCTACAACCCACACAAGTGGCTCAGGTAGTTCATCCAGGATGGCACATCAATGCGAGCTGTGGCAAGAAGGTTTGCTGTGTCTGTCAGCGTAGTGTCCAGAGCATGGAGGCGCTGCCAGGAGACAGGCCAGTACATGAGGAGATGTGGAGGAGGCCGCAGGAGGGCAACAACCCAGCAGCAGGACCGCTACCTCCACCTTTGTGCAAGGAGGAGCAGGAGGAGCACTGCCAGAGCCCTGGAGAATGACCTCCAGCAGGCCACAAATGTGCATGTGTCTGCTCAAACGGTCAGAAACAGACTCCATGATGCTGGTATGAGGGCCCGACGTCCACAGGTGGGGGTTGTGCTTACAGCCCAACACCGTGCAGGACGTTTGGCATTTGCCAGAGAATACCAAGATTGGCAAATTCGCCACTGGCGCCCTGTGCTCTTCACAGATGAAAGCAGGTTCACACTGAGCACATGTGACAGATGTGACAGAGTCTGAAGACGCCGTGGAGAACGTTCTGCTGCCTGCAACATCCTCCAGCATGACCGGTTTGGCGGTGGGTCAGTAATGGTGTGGGGTGGCATTTCTTTAGGGGGCCGCACAGCCGTCCATGTGCTCGCCAGAGGTAGCTGCCATTAGGTACCGAGATGAGATCCTCAGACCCCTTGTTAGACCATATGCTGGTGCGGTTGGCCCTGGGTTCCTCCTAATGCAACACAATGCTAGACCTCATGTGGCTGGAGTGTGTCAGCAGTTCCTGCAAGAGGAAGGCATTGATGCTATGGACTGGCCCGCCCGTTCCCCAGACCTGAATCCAATTGAGCACATCTGGGACATCATGTCTCGCTCCATCCACCAACGCCACGTTGCACCAGACTGTCCAGGAGTTGGCGGATGCTTTAGTCCAGGTCTGGGAGGAGATCCCTCAGGAGACCATCCGCCACCCATCAGGAGCATGCCCAGGCGTTGTAGGGAGGTCATACAGGCACGTGGAGGCCACACACACTACTGAGCCTCATTTTGACTTGTTTTAAGGACATTACATCAAAGTTGGATCGGCCTGTAGTGTGGTTTTCCACTTTGATTTTGAGTGTGACTCCAAATCCTGACCTCCGTGGGTTGATAAATTTGATTTCCATTGATAATTTTTGTGGGATTTTGTTGTCAGCACATTCAACTATGTAAAGAAAGGAATATTTAATGAGATTAGTTCATTCATTCAGATCTAGGATGTGTTATTTTAGTGTTCCCCTAATTTTTTTGAGCAGTGTATTATTATATGTTATTTATTTCTACTAACATTAGGCCTACTTCTGTCACTCTAGTTACAAGACTTTATTTTACTTAAAAAAACAAGAGGCAAACATAAGTAAAAACTCAGGGTGAAGGGAGAGAGAGCGAGAGATCCAGAGAAAGAGCGTCTGGCTCGTGATTCACTCCTACCGCCCTGCTCGGGGCATGACGCGTCGTGACTTCTCGGATTCTGATTGGACGGCTGTGGCTCCAGTTTAAATCCCCTCGTGCCCGGTCTCAGCGGCCACAGCGCGAGGGCGACTGACGGCTCGAGGCAGCTGCTGGAGCTCTGGACACCTGTTGCCACGGAAACAGCGGGAAAAAAATTACCAACAAAAGAAAACAGAACTAAGTGAGTTATTACCTATTTGACCTTGAAGTCCTGTAAACCAGAGTGTAAACAGTGATTTTATAAAACTTATTGAGTTCATAAAACATTGTATTTATCTACAATCTATTTAGTGTCTTTCCAGTGGTATCTTTATATCATTCATGCACTCATTGGTACTTTGGCTATCCTGTGTATATGCGGAAGTGGAAGAAGTATTCCAATACCAGACCAAAATACTTGTAGCTACCATTATACTCCATTACAATTCCTGCCTTGAAAATATTACTTGACTATAAGTAAGTATAACAGCAAAATGTATTTAAAATATCAAAAGTCAAAGTATTCATATTGCTGAAGAATGCCACCTCTGGAATGAGTGTTATTTTTACTCATGCATTCACTGTATAGACTAATAAGCATTGTTGTTGGTAAAGGTGGAGCAATATACTTTATGGGTAGTTAAATATATGATGAACTTCTAAAACATGATGTTTTGTAGGCTATGTAAAATCCTATTATGCAAAGTGGAAGTCAAAGTGGAGTAAAATCTACAATATTTGGTTCTGAATTGTAGTGAAGTATAAAGTAGCAAAAATGGACATAGTCTATCTTTAGTTTTCACTGGATCAATAATAGTGATACAGTAACCTATGTTTCTTTAGATTTCAGACTTTTCTGTTATTTTCCGCAGTATGTTTGGGGTCTGAATTATATTTATTTGTGGTCTTGTTTTCATAACATTTACTCTGTTTTAAAATCTGTTCCATAAAGGCTAATCTTTAACAAAAAAGATGGATGGTTTGTTGCTATCCTGTTCTTGTACGTGCGTCTGTGTGTGTGTATAACCTCTTGATCAACTGGTCTGCGACCAAATACGCATGTGCATTGTTATGTTTTATCAACAACAAGTGGGTCACATGTGTTTCAGTGTGTACACACTGTTCTGGAGTGCTATGTACAGGTCATACAGGCTGATAAAGTTAACTGTCTCTGTTTGACGTGTGTTTCTGGCCAGGAGAGTGAGTTTATATCCAACTATATCAGCGGTTTGTGAAGTAATCACTGTTATTAATATTGACCACCAACACAGAGTCATTTACTCTGGCAAACCACTTTACACAAAAGCTTGGCATAAGGTAAATCTGTGTCACAGGGAAATGGGAGTTATCTAATACAGCATTTTTGTGTTTGGTATATTGTGGTTAATGTTTTTCCATTATAGTACCATAGAAGCTCTTAATTCTTTCGGTGTCTCTTTTCAAATATAATACAACAGAGTATTTTTAGATCCTGGCCCGGGTGTTAGTCCTGCTTGTAATGGATATGAGACGACACACGGCTAAAACACAGCAGGAGATGGAGGGTTATTTGTTACGAACACAAATATATACAGAGATAAGGAGTCGACGGTGCGATAGAAAGGAGAGTTGAAGAAGATAATCCTTGTTAATGTCAACAAGCTTGAGGGATTAAAGTCCCAAATGTTGCCAACAGCTGACCGTCTGACTCATTTTCCTTTTCTCTTCTCTCACATCTGAAAAGTTTGAGGTTTGTGGCCTTAATGTGGGTGCAAGGACGGCAATTGACTGAAATCATTTCAGGTCATCTTTAAGCTAAAATGCAATGAACTGATTCTTGCTTCTCAAATGTGTGGATTTGCTGCTATCCTCTGTTTTTATTGAATATCTTTGGGTTTTGGACTGTTGTTTAGACAAAACAAGCATTTTGCAGACGCTATTCTGGGCTCTGGGCATTATTTACTACTGTTAATTAATTAATTACTAATTAGACAAATATTTTCAGCTGATATGAGCTAAATCAAGCTATATCAAAATTGGTATCAGTCTCAAAGACCCATATCATACAGTATACTCTCATATCATAATCATAAGTTAAAGGCGTTTTGTTATTTCACTTATATTTCAGAAACCCGCTGCACAGCCAGGTGTTTCCTCCACAGCTGTTAAAGACAGTCAGCCATGTCATCTACAGTGTTGCTTAATCTGCTGCGTTGTGGTCGCTCCACCATCGCCAGACAAACCTTCCTCGCAGCACGCTCCTCGCCAGGAACCTCCACAGCTTCTGGGCAGGTGAATCTCCACGCGATTAAAACCATGCACGTTTTGGAAGATTATAACACTTTGTTAATTGTCTGATTGATCGGCATGCAGGTGGACGGTGTGTTGTTTGGGGTGGTGGGCGCACGGCGGGCCAGTGGGTCGGTCCGCTTCGACAGCGACGGCAGTGGCCAGCTGGTCACCTGGGACTCATTTGGTATCTGGGACAACAGGATAGAAGAACCAATACTTCTGCCCTCCAGTATCAGATATGGCAAACCCATTCCACAGGTTACTGGATGGATGGATGAATGAGAGATGGATGGATGAAAGGGTTGATTAAAGGTGAATAGATGGAGTAGATGATAAGAGTAGATACATGGATAGGTGAAAGGATGAATGAAAAGGTGGATTAAAGGTTAATGGATGGAGTCAATGGATAAAAGAGTAGACAAATGGATGAACAGACAGATGAGTGAACAGTTAATTAGATAGATACATGGTTAAAAAGATGATGATTGAGAATAAATGGGTAATGGATGAAATTCTGAGTCAGATGTATGGATGAACAGACAAATAAATGAATGACTGGAGGGAAGAATAGTTTCATTATTGGGTCAGTAGTTAACTACATGGTTGGACAAATGGATGGATGTATGATCAGACAGATGAATAGATGAATGTGTAAACACGTATAAATTTATGAATGAGTGGGTGAATAGATGGATAAGTTCATGGATGAGTAAAACATGGATGATATAACAATGAATGAGTGGATAATTAGCTGGATGAGTGGATGTATAAAACATGGATGAAAGGATTACTTAGATGATGAATGAATAAATATGCGTATGAATATATGGATAATTGAGGGGTGAATAGTTTATTAAATACTTGGACAAAAAGATGGATAATTAATTGATTAATTGATGGATCAATGAGTCGATAACTGGATAAATGATACATGGGTGAAAGGATTAATTAGCCGGATAAATTACTGAATAAATGTATGAATGTATGAATAGTGGCTGAAATGATGAACTGACTCCCTCCCTCTCTCAGGTCAGTCTGTCCCGGGTTGGCAGCGCGTCTGTTTTGGGTCTCAGGAAGCAGAACGAGGACCGTCTCCGTGTCGCCCGTATTCATGACAACCTGCAGTACTTTGCCGTGTTTGATGGCCATGGTGGCCCTCATGCTGCCGACTATTGCTACACCTTTATGGAGAAGTTTATTAGGTTAAAACCTCTAAATATTACAATATTTGTTATTAGAATAATAATAATAACATAAAAGTTACAAATGCAATTTAAACACTTCAACTTTAAACTTTGATATGATTGTTAAATCTTTGTACAGAGATGCTTTGGAGGAGGAAGATGATCTGGAGAAAGTTTTAAAGAAAGCCTTTTTAGATGTTGACAAGGCTCTACACACACATCTTAGCTACTTCAACAACGGTGAGACACACACACACACGGTAGCACAGAAGTAGTATATTAGATGTGGCAGGAGAAGTTTAGAGGTGAAGTTTGTGTCAATCATACATCAGCCCGTTCTCATTTCCAGAGAGTCAAACAGCTGCGCTTTGTCACACCTTGTACTAATGCACATGGCACTCTTTCACTTCATAGTTCAACACACTGGGGGAAGCCCTTTAGTGCCATTGTTTAACACTAAAAGTACTACTATAAATAACAGTAAAATATAAATAACAAGGTGGTTTGGGTGGGAAAAAAAACGGACTTTCACCCAGGAGTCCGGTGTTCGTTTCCCATGTGAAACAAAAAGTCAACACTGGTTACGTAACTCACTTAAGTTACAGCTGTAGCGTTACCTAACTTACTTAATTTAAGTCATGTAAGTAATGTAGTAATTTAACCCAAACCACAATCTTTTCATAAATGCAACCAAATAGATGTACTGCAACATTTCACAACATTACCCAGTAGTTTTATTTTAAAAGTCTAACTGGATGTTGTATATTTATTTTTGCTGACTTGACTGCGCAGCCATATACGTACAAAAACAAGGGTGAAGGGTACCCAGGGCATTAAAAGGTGACGCCAAGGGGTCTAAACAAAGAGTTACTATGTGACACACTGCGATGATTGATCATACCACTGTACCAAAAAATAGTAGTAAGTACATACAAAGAACTAAGTAAAAAGGACTACTACATTTTCTTTAAGTGTCCATCCCTTTCTCCCTCCGCAGCCTCTTTCCTGACAGCCGGCACCACTGCGACGGTTGCTATGCTACGTGATGGTGTGGAGCTGGTGGTGGGTAGTGTTGGCGACAGCCGGGCAATGCTGTGCAGGAAGGGAAGAGCTAACAAGCTCACCAAAGACCACACGCCTGACCGCAAGGATGAGAGACACAGGTACACAGTGACCCTGATTTGGAGGACTTCTCAGCATGGAGGCCCATTTTATTTCAATTGTAAGCAGAGAAAATGCTCGGCATTTGGTAGAAAATCACAGGTAAAGGTCCAAAAGTAGTTCTTATCCAGCATGAATAGTGCAGAAGGAAGACAGTGCAGCAGCAGGGTTCAGGTTTCCCAGCAGCCAATCAGGTTGTTGTGTATTAATAGACTCTACAGTATGTTGGACTGGTCCATGCCTTGCTGGAGGACTCTCCTCCGTGCACGGGGTCTGGGTCATCCGGTCGGTGGAATGAGAGCTGAGCTGCAGGTTGACAGGTTTGGGTTTCCCTTCGGCTCAAAGCAGCTGGTGTTATGTAACAGCAGCAGAACTATGTTTAACTCTGGCAATCACCCGAACACATATCAGCGCATCAGTGTTGAGTTTCTGAGGCTGTGTCTGAAATCACCCACTACTCACTATATAGTGACTATATAGTGAGCTCGCCATATCGTTATCGTCACCAACCAATCCATATATACCATCATGCACTGTGCTGATATAAAAAACTGATTGTCCGATTGCAGTGACGTAATAACCGGCTCTGAAATAACAATCAGGGTAGTGTCCAAAAGTGTTGTTTGAATAATGCGAGTGAGCTCACTATATAGTGCTCTACATACAACTCCCTACATAGGGGGTAGGAAGTAGTGAAAACACAGCCAGTGTCTTTGACCGACAGACGCATAAAGTCAGAGGCCTTAACTGTCCTTAAATGTCACTTGTTTATCTTAAAGGTTTATCTAAATGTCAAAATATAGGTACTAGAAGAGCTGAACCTCCTACCATTCTTTTGTATTTGGGTTCAGGATCCAGAGGTTCGGTGGCTTTGTGACGTGGAACAGCGTCGGTCAGGCCAACGTTAATGGCCGGCTTGCCATGACTCGCAGCATCGGAGACTTCCACCTGAAAACCAGCGGTGTCATTGCTGAACCCGATACACAACGGCTCACTGTGAGTCCCAGCTTTATCTGACCTTTGACCTTTAGTTTTGAATTGTTGTGGACAGATTTTGCATTTTAAAAGTCTTGTGGCTATAAAACCCTTTGCAAATGATGTACAGACAAATACCATGACAACAACAAAGTAATGTAACTGATGTTAGCTAAGTTTTGGGTTGGCAAACTGTTGCTACAGTTGTTGCTGTGAACCTACAATGCAGAGAGGACGGGATGGTCCCAGAGCAGCGCACCAGCTCCAGACTGTGATACTCACAACTCTCCTGCTGCTATAGCTAACATAAAAACAACAACATGTCTTGGTGAACTATAAAATAAGCATAAGCTGAATGTCCGTGGGCGAGTCATTTAACGTCACCTGACACACAAATCCTGGTTTGAATAGTGTTGTGTGGTGAGCTGCAGGCCACTTTGTCTGTTTCCCATTTACAAAGCCAGAGCTGAGCGCAAAAATGGACTGCTTGCATACATCGGCTAGCACTGCATACCCCACCTTTAAAATAATAAGTACTTGTGCTGTAGATCTCTCTTCTGAAAGATATCAAGGGACTTTGAAACAAAAAGAATGGACTCTATAATTGACTTGCTGAATTGCTGAAGGTTTTCGAACAATGCACCATAGGATGAGCTCAGCGCTTGATGTGACATGACATTGTTGGTGTTTTACTTAACATGTTAAGGATATTGGCCTGTTAGCACGTCATATGTTAGTATTTATATCCAGTAAGCTAAGGCAGACAGGAATATGTCTGCCTTATCCTGTTAATGGTGTTGAAATGAAACACAATTTGTACCCATTGATGGGTTAAATATCATACTTGAAAAAGATTAATTTACTATGATATGTTTTGTATTTATGGTCCAGAGACCCAGCTGAAATTGAGAGCGGACAGAGCTTTTGCAGTTAGGGCACCGAGGCTCTGGAACAATCTACCCGAGGAAATTAGGTCGGCTGAATCAGTGAACTCTTTTAAATCCCTTGTTAAAACATACTTTTAGAGCATGCCCTGATTTTACATGATTTTATTTGAAGTATAATTTGAAATGTTGTTTTTTATTGTTTTACCTGTTTTAACTGCTTCACGTTAAGCACTTTTATTACGGTCATTTTGTATTTTCGCTTACAAATGAGAGATTTTGTAAACAGTATTTTTTAAGAAACTGATGGTGATAATGTTGTTTTCCCTGCTGACCGAGATCCTGACATGTTCTCTGTCTGTCTCTGCAGATCCAGCACGCCAACGACAGCTTCCTGGCTCTGACCACCGACGGCATCAACTTCCTGCTGAGTGACCAGGAGATCTGTGATGTCATCAACCAGTGCCAAGACCCCACGGAGGCTGCTGATGTCATCGCTCAGCAGGTACTCAATCAAATCTCTCCTACCACTCTAATCTGTTCACTCCAGATACAAGGTGCTTGTTGAAAGGAATTCTGGGAAACGTAGGTTAAAGTTGGGGCTAAGTTAACGACAAATAATATGTGTGTGTGTGTTTAAGGCGTTGCAGTACGGCTCGGAGGACAATGCCACTATCATCATCGTCCCTTTCGGAGCCTGGGGGAAACATCAGAGCTCCACCGCCGTCTACAGCATGAGCAGAAACTTTACTTCAAGTGGGAGATGGGCGTAGACACACATGTACAAAAACATCACTGAGCTCTAGAGCGATCAAGAAAATGACTTTGACTTGAAGGACACCAACATTTTCAATCTTTTTCCAACTCAAAATTATCTTTTAATCATCTTGAATTCACGTGAAGACGGCACCTGTCCCTCAGGCTGTGACCCACGGTAGTGCTGGCTTTAGGTTCCGCGTGTCCGCTCCCAGCTGACTAGTCAACAAGGTATATAGAGTGTATATTAATATATTGTACATACAGAGAGGTTTGCTGCAGTGTTTATATCTGTGTCGCGTTTGTTAACCTGACCTGCGTGCTTTGTGCATTTAGACAAAACATTTAAGATCCCTCCTGTATTTTTAGGCAGCAGATGTTGAAGGTTTGCTGCTGTCGAGTGAAGTTTTAACGTCAAACTTCCAAAATGTCGACTTGTCGGGAAGAAAGAAAATGCAGTTAAGTTTCTATTTGATATTGAGTTTTTCCAGAGGCACCAAAGAAAAGTCTTGGAGAGTTTAAAACAGGCGTTTTTGTTAAAGGAGACCTATTATACAGCATTTCCAGGCCTATATTGTAGTTCTGTGACTCCTCTATGATTCAAATTCAAAAAATTGATTTTCTATCTTATGCTGGCCCTTCATGCAGGCCCTCGTTTCAGCCTCCGTCTGAAACAAGCTATAGATGCTCCTGTCTCTTTGACGCCCTTCTCCAAACCCCACTGCTGCAGGAATGGGGCTGCATGTTCCTTTGTGGGCGTGGCCAGCATTCTCTGCCTGGAGCAAATGACCATATATGGAAATCCAGAACGACATCATACATTGGTAGAAAAAACAGTTCAAACAGAGCGTTCAGAACAGGGGGATATCTGAGGTTTTGGCTCACAGGAATTTCTTTTAAATACGTTGAAGCTTTGGTCATGTTTAACATGAACATCTGACATTGTAACATTATAGAAATGCCAGAAAATATGAAATAGCATAATAGGTTCCCCTTAAAAACTAATTATTTTATCCAAGGTGACACTTGCACAATGTTACTTTTAAAGCTGTCAGGTTTGCTAAATGGTAACACATGTGAAAGTAACACAAAGATACAAATCAGGCAGTTTATATCAAGGAGTTTTTCTCTGGTATTCACCAATTTTTCAAGGACGAATGACTGAAGTAACTGTGGGAAACACCACAGATAACAAATACTACGTAAAGTAATAAAAGCTAAAGACAAACCTGCCTATAACTGAACCTTGTTTATTGTCTATTATTCTGTTCAGTAATGATTCTGGTCTTTTATTTCTTAGTGTAACAGCATAAAAGCCAAACTACCCTGTAAAAGTGTAAGATTAATTATCATAGCATAGATTATTATCATGGAATTGAGGGACATATACTTATATTGCCCAAAATTATGTTGTATCATTGATTTTCCTCTAATTTTTACATAGTTAAAATGTGAAAATGTTTACTTCCTCTGGCTTCTGAAAGTCTCCAAACTGAAACACAAGAGACGGAAAAATGACCCTTTATTGGACTGATCATAATTCACGTCCACACTTATAAACCTGTGATGAAGGGTTAACCGTAGTTATTATTTAAGGGGTCACAACAGCTCCTATAAGCTGTCCGCAGCCAGTGAGGTAACAACATCCCAAAATATGAGTTTCTATTGTAGTTTCTACTACAAAAGATTCAGTTTTGACTGTTTTACTCGGTCAGTCAATTTTTATTTCTTAGGGACAAGTCGCCATATTGGAGGAGTGACAACAAACAACTTTATATTTTCTGTACTTAAGGTAAAACTGTTTTATCACAAACCATGTAATTGGACCGTCCAGTGTGTCCGTTATCAACTGTGTTGTCCAGTGTTTTTGAACGAGATGCTGAGTCGTCTACCAGCTTCCAGACTTCTGATCTTGGGCTCTGACCTTTGATCCCTGACCTCCCTGAGGAGACGGACCATCCATGAGAGGGATCTGGGATGAATAAAGTTAAACTCAAACTTCACTTCACTGTTTCTCTGTTTTCTACAGACGTTCACATGCAGACCTGTCTCAGCTTTTTGCAGATTTTGTGTTTCGTCTCAATGGACCCCCTGGTGACCCCCAAAAATTGCATGTGCAGCCAGAGACTTCATGTAAATACAGTATATAAATATATCAAAGCAGTTAGACAGTTAGAAAAGCATGCCTGTGTTGTTCTGCTAAGAATAAGATGAGAAGAATTGTCCAGTTGGCAGCGCCTCTAGAGTTCACTGGTGAACACGTTATATATCTTGAGTGTTTAATCTGACAGAGCCAGGCTAGATAGCTGTTTAAACATGTTTCAAGTCATTATGCTAAAATAAGCTAACATCTCCTGGGTACATAGCTTCATATTTACTGCAGAGACTGGTATTCAGCAAGCTAATTTCCTAAAATGTCAAACTATTCCTTTGATAGCGTTTGTGATAGCTTTAAAAAAATAAAACTTAGGTCCACCTCTTTCTTTTTTAAACAGACCCTAAGCTAAGTTTTCTTTGTCTTTCTGCTGTTCAAATTACTACAGGAACAGACTGAATAAACACATATTAGCTTCAAATATATGATGGTCGTCTTTTATACGACACTTAACATTTAGCTTTCTTTGTGCATCCTGTTACAATGTACTTTTAACTGCACATGAGCAGTTTCCCTTGAACATGTAGCACACACCGTTCACTACACAGTAGTGTTGTGGAAAGTTACTCCCGTTTGATTGACAGCTGATTTCCCTCTCAGATGTCCAATAAAGTGGCAGGAATATCCCGCCCTCCCAGTGTGTGGCGAGGCGTTCAGGTGACAGTAAATATAATATAGAAACCATTGAGATTCCTCGCATTGCTTCACGTGACCTTAAGGTGACGCTGATGCAACAACACACGTATATTAACACACACCTTAGTGAAGCAAAATACTCATCAGCATACTGACACACTAGAACTTGACCCAGAAAACCGTGTGACTGACTGTGTGTGTGCTGACCTTCAGAAACTGTTTGATGTCAGTAACTGTGTGTGTGTGTGTGTGTGTGTGTGTGTGTGTGTTGGCACAACAAACAACAAACAAGGTTGAACAAACACATCTTTGTATACGGAGAGATAGAAACACAGATTACCCTGTGTATACCATACCAACTTTATTTGTTAAGCACTACAACAACCAAAGTTGACCAAAGTGCTGTACAGAAAAATAAACATAAACATATGTAAAATTAATAACCATACAATAAAAAACATTCAAAGTAACGAATAAAATCAAGTAAATCAAGTCGACATCTTACTAGGTGTCAAAAGCCAAAGAGAAAAGATGGGTTTTAAGAAGGGTTTTAAAAACAGATAAAGAAGAGGCCTGCTTTACATGCAAAGGCAGATCTTTCCATAGTTTAGGGGCAGACACACCAAAGGCACGGTCCCCTCTGAGCTTACGCTTAGTTTTAGGCACAGTCAGGAGCAGCTGATCATCTGACCTGAGAGAGCGGACGGGTTTATAAGAGTGTAGAAGCTCAGAGAGGTATGGCGGGGCAAGACCATTTAGTGATTTAAAAGCAAATAACAGAATTTTAAAATGGATCCTAAAGTGAATAGGCAGCCAGTGTAATGAGGCTAAAATAGGGGAAATGTGCTCATGTTTACGTGTGCCCGTTAAAAGACGTGCTGCTGCATTTTGTATCATCTGGAGACGGGTGATGGAGGACCCACTAACCCCCACATATAGTGAATTACAGTAGTTCAGCCGTGTAGTTATAAAGGCGTGGATTGCAGTTTCAAAATGTTGTCTTGACAGAATTGGCTTTATTTTGGCCAGCTGCCTCAAATGAAAGAAGCTTGATTTGACAACAGCTTTGATTTGACTGTCAAATTTAAGCTCAGGGTCCACTTTAACTCCTAGGTTTGTAATGCTAGGTTTAATATAGTGTGCCAAGGAGCCCAGATCTACAGGCGGGGTCCCAGTGGTGCCTCCAAAAACCATCACTTCTGTTGTTTTTTTATCATTAAAATTTAAAAGGTTCAGAGCCATCCAGGCCTTGATGTCGTCGAGACAATTGAGTAGTTGTCCAATACAGTTATCATTTTTCATTTTAAGAGGTACATCAATCTGACTGTCATCTGCATAACAGTGGAATGAAATGCCGTACTTATGTATGGAACCAAGTGGAAGCAAATACAAAGAGAAAAGTAGAGGGCCGAGGACTGAGCCCTGTGGGACCCCACACAAGAGAGGAGCAGAGGAGGATACAAATTCACCTACGCTAACACAAAAAGTTCGAGCCGCTAAGTATGACCTAAACCACTCCAGTGCTATGCCACTGATGCCCACCCACTGCCTTAAACGTGAAATCAATATTTCATGATCCACTGTGTCAAATGCAGCAGGTAAATCTAAAAGTACAAGGATAACAGTCACCAGAGTCAGTCGCTAAAAAGATATCATTAAAAACTCTTAAAAGTTTTTAATGATCATTAGTTTACAAATTAAAGGTTAAGAAATCAATACCCTTTGTTGTTGTAGTGATTACTGGTCTCCAGTAGATGGAGATCAAAGATTAATGTTCCAATCCAAAAGTTTATTTATATTTTTGGTTTCATGATGGAGGTCCATGTTTTAGCATTAACTCTAAAACAGTAAAAACTGCAGTAAAAACTCTTTAATACATAAAAACACATTATTTTTGACTGCAAAAAGGACGAATAAATGGGATATTGTCTCCAGAGGGGCAATTAGTTTTGCATCAGTAGAAAAACAAAGAGAACATTCAAATACCACAGTACACACACAAATGTCACACTAATAAGAAGTAAAAACACAGAATACAATAATATAAGTACTCTACTTTTTAGCACCACTGATAAAAAGACAATATTTCTCGGTGCAGGGGTTGGGTGCTGTCAGACCTGATGGATTCTGCTTTCTTTAATAACATGTTTGTTATATAAATCAGAGAGATGTTGATCTCCTTAGTTAGTTAGTTAGACTGAGAGAAGCATCACTTTGTGTTGAAATTTTATATACATATTTTGAATAATTATTCAATACTGAAATATATCAATTGGGGAAATTTTCTGCCCCAATTTATAGGGGAAATGTCTTTATTTTGATAAAGGGAAACAAATTCAGATGACATGACAATTTCTAATATAAATATAGCCGTGACTGGCAATGATCGGGATCCAAGCCAGTCGTGAAAAACGCAACATATGAAACTTTCAGACGTCCGTAGATGATCCCACGAAAGATTCAGGTCGATTGGCGAAACCGTCTGGGATGAGTTCGCAAAAATAGGTTTTAGAGAAAAGTGAAAAAAAACATTTTTAGAGCAGAAGACCATAGGAGCAAAGATGCAGATGAATCCAGAGATTAAAATAATGAAAGACTGACTCTAAACAAAGCCGTTTTTGAGATAATTGCAAAAACGCAAAGTTGATTGTTATAGCGCCACCATCAGGTCTATGAGGACCATTTTTTTTTTTGCCTGAGTAGTGGGTGGAATTTGCAACCTAGTGCCAATTTTGGTGAGTTTCGTCCAGCAGTTTTTGCTGCCCAAACACCTTTAGCAGAGAAAAGAAGAAAGAAGAAGAAGAAAACCAAAAGGGCTCCAGCAGCTTCGCTTCTTGGATTCATGTAATGGAATATAATGCAGTAATCAGTAGCTTGTTTTTTTAAGCTCAAGTTACTTTTTTGGACATTGCACATGTGTTTCTTCTTTATATTTATATTGCATTGCATGTTGTAAATAAACCTGTCTCGAAGCATTTTCATTTGTTATTTAACATTCTTGTTGCTATTTTTCAGAACATTTTTAACAAAAACTTTCAAATAGTCATGGACACAAAATCAGATCTTGCATGACTGGACTATTTCTACATCCTGATAGTACTTTATATATCTACTTCTATACAATTCAGAGGCAAATATTGTACTTTTTTCCCCGTTACATTTATTTGATAACTTTAGTTATACTTTTGCCAGCTGTAACAATAAAGTGATCAAAACACTAATGCATCAATAACTATCCAAATATATAATATACTGTATCTGATTCTGAAATGGGCCATTACTTGAATGCAGTAGGCTACTTTTACTTGTTGTAGAGTTCTTTTGACTGCATGTTATCAACTCTGTGTAAGTTGTGAGTTACTTTACTTGCAATTTCCATTTTAGTTCTAATCCACTACATTTATCTCACATTTGTAGCTTCTTATTTTGCATACAAAACATGAATTGCGCTTCTAAAACACACTCCTGATGAACCAGATCGGCTGAGTTTTTTAGGAGTTTAACTCTCAATAAATGACCCCTTTAAAATTATTTCTTGTTGTTTGTTGTCAAAAATATACAGCAATTCAATATTCAGGGGGGATAGTGGCCCTTCCCAACTTGGAGCGATCCTCGTTTTTGCTGAATTCTAATTGGCTCAATGGTGCCGATCAAAGGAGTTTACTTTACATCTGTGGCGAGTTTAATCTCAACATGTTTTGTCGGGGCTGAACTCAGCCCAGGGTTGTGACAAGCACAACAGAGCAGGTAAATATGTCAAAAAGAAAGAAAGAGGAAAGAAGAACACAAATGTACTTTTACTATTACGGATGTTATATTGATATTTATAATGATTGCAGGTTAGCGTCAACGGGCTAGCTGGCAACTAAACTGTGCTCAGCAGCGTGGGTCTTTTTGGTAAATAAACTTTTAGAGAGCAGAACACAAAATGTCCTCTCTGTGTACACATCTACACACGTTTTACTGTGTCAAACCAAGAGTAATTTAATGAGCAAGGAAATGTTGATTCATTGTCCAAGTGAGGAAAAAATAATAATTTATAATATAAAAATATATTTATTAACAAATAGGTACTGTCAAATCATCACAGAGCAGAGCGAACAATATACACACAAACATATTCATCTCCCAGGTGGTTTTGATCTGCATTGAGTCGTTCTACTCTCAAGCTGGACCAATCAGAGCAGAGGTGGACAACACTAGAAACGTCATTACAATTTACATAACGACAAACACAACATCATTTTAAAAATGCCACCCTAAAAATTAAGTGTTGAAATGATCTTTATTGTCCTCTCTGGTTAGTCAGTTTTAAAGTGTATAAAAAGCCAGCAGAGGAGGCAGAGCTACAATAACACTGAGAAAGTTCTTTTGGACAGATGAAAAAGTCCATTAAGACTCTTCAGCTGATCCAGAAGCTGCAGCACGTGTCCTGACAGGAACCAGGATAAGAGATCACATTTCTCCTGTTTTAGCTTCTCTGCATTGGCTTCCAGTAAAATCCAGAATAGAATTTAAAATCCTTCTTCTCACCTACAAAGCTCTTAATGGTCAGGCACCATCTTATCTGAAAGAGCTCATAGTACCTTACTACCCCACCAGAGCACTGCGCTCCCAGAATGCAGGGTTACTTGTGGTTCCTAGAGTCTCCAAAAGTAGACTAGGAGCCAGAGCGTTCAGCTATCAAGCTCCTCTCCTGTGGAACCAGGTTCCAGTTTGGGTTCAGGAGGCAGACACCATCTCCACATTTAAGAGTAGGCTTAAGACTTTCCTCTTTGATAAAGCTTATAGTTAGGGCTGGTTCAGGTAGTCCTGAACCATCCCTTAGTTATGCTGCTATAGGCCTAGACTGCCGGGGGATTTCCTATGATGCACTGAGCTCCTCTCTCCTCTACTTTCTCTCCCTCTGTATGCAACCTCATCCCATTATTGCATGTTACTAACTCAACTTCTCCCCTTTCTGGTAGTCTTGTGCTTTCTCGTCTCTCTCCTCTCTCCTATCACTTCCTGCAGGTTTTCTGGCTCTGGAGCTGTGGAGTCTGGATCTGTGGCTGCGGGTCACCTGCTGCCCCCGTGTTCCTGCTCGACACCCTCTGCTGCAACGACTATTGTTATTGTTGTTATTGTTATTATAATCATTAACATTACGATTATTATCATTAACACTACTATAAATATCTGTACCATTTTTCATTTAGTCTATAGCAACATCACCTTCAGTGTCTGTACCTCTGTGTGTATATTGTGTAGGCTGCCTCCCTCTCTCTCTCCTTAGATCCCTCTCTTTTTCTCTCTGTTCCTCTCCTGCCCTCTCTCTCTCTCTCTCTCTCTCTCCTCTCTCTCTCCCTCTCTCTCTCCTTCACCCCCAACCGGTCGAGGCAGATGGCCGCCCACCCTGAGCCATGGTTCTGCTCGAGGTTTCTGCCTCTTAAAAGGAAGTTTTTCCTTGCCTCTGTCGCCTAGTGCTTGCTCTTGGTGGGAACTGTTGGGCTTCTGTAAATAGCATCATAGAGTACGGTCTAGACCTGCTCTTTTATGAAAAGCGCTTTAAGATAACTGTTGTGATTTGGTGCTATATAAATAAAATTGAATTGAATTGAATTGAAGTTTAGGCGTCCATGCTACTACAAAATCGTTTTAAAATGGAGACCTTTTGCACCTCCCGTCCAGACTAAAACAGCGAAAACAAAGACCTAAAAGGGAGAAGTTTGGAAACGCACCGATCGTTTTTAAACTCCGGAGGGCGTTTTAGTGAAGACCGGCAAAAACGGTGGACTTTAGAAACGATGACGCAGACGCTCACACTTGGCTCTCTGATTGGGTCTTATAAGTCATATAAAGCAGACACACGATGCCACTGACTGAGTTTTTGATTTTTATTAAAATATTCTGTACTGCGCAAATAAAACTCATCTTCCTACGCATGGCCCCGTTTACTTTTTTCGTTATTGTTCCCTGCAAAATAAAATCTAGTCTGATTGTAACTACGGAATAGACTATCAGCTTCATGTTTACACCGGCATGCGCATGCCCAGTGTACGTGAACGGCCACTACATGTGCGTTTACATTCGTTTTAATGTAGACGGAGACGTTTTAAACTAAAAGGGAGTAGTGTGAATGGGTTCTCAATCCAGTCAAGGTCCAGACCTGAGATACCAACTGAGATGGTTATAAAATCAGGGTCTAACATATCAAAAGCCACAGAAATATCAAGAAGAGCTTCTGAATAAGGTCCTGTACCTGCATTTTAATTAGGAATCATCCTTCAACGTTTTTCTATCACATTGCTGAAAACTGTGGAAAAGAAGTTTGTACAATTATTTCAAGTAAACCACGGCAGCCATTTTGGCTCTTAAATGTGTTCATAACTCCGGTCTGTATAGTGACCCAGACCTTATTCAGATGAACACAGTTATTATTATATTGTTAAGAAACCTTTCACAACCACTCAAATATATCTAAACCTGACACCCCGGTGCTGCAGCATCAACTGTCACAGTAAACTAATGTTAACTGAGTTTCTCATCACTGTGTCTGTGTTCGTAGCACCAGTGAGACAACAGCACCATCATGAGAAACAGGAGGAACACAACACTGCAATCACTTCACTGATAGCAGCACACGGTGAAAACAACATGTAAACAAGTTGTATAACTTTTCATATATTCATTCTACAACTTTGTTAACATTTGACCATTTAAATGAAATAAGGACCCGAGGTGTGCAGTGGGTAATTTTTCAACCAGGATCAAAAGGATGTTTTCCTGGAGGCACCTGATAAAAATGTGTGGATTTTTGGATGGCATAAAACCTTATTTTCTATTTGGTAGGTGGGTCCAAGAATCCAGAGTCATCATGAAGCAGCGTCGTTGGGGTTTTCCATGTTAATTCTCATAGGAAAACTCTCCCGAATGCCGGCTCTGTTGCGTTCTCTCCTGTCTCGTCCTGCACATCTACCTATATGACCCAAAACAAGTCAGTCAGTGTTTTCCAAGGCTCATGAGCATTTCTTTCACCACCACTACACACATTTATATAAGTTTATATAAGTTTATGTTCTGTGGCAATTATGATTACAACACAATCTCCTCTAGCACGTGTAAAAAAGAAATAGCTTCTGTCTGAGGCAGAAGAAAGGAGTAAAAAGTCAGAATAAGATGTGAAAAAGGTGATCATTTTATCAACCCAAGCAGAGAAATCAGCAATGAAGTAGAAAGAATCTGGTTCTACAGTAATATTAGTCTATTTTCTGTTTAACTACTGTAACTTTTCTGTACAATACATTACATAACCAACTTAGTGATTTATGGCGTATTGTTATCGTATTAACATGCCATTGAAAACATTGTCTTAATTCTGTATTTCTTTACGTACAAAACTGTGAAGACAACATGCATTTATAACAAAAGCTAATCATTCTTATATGGGGAAGCTTCAACCCACTTAAGTAAGCGTGTAGGTTTCAACAACCTCTGCGCCTAAGTTTTAAAGGATGGATTCACAATTCTTTAAGTCTGTCTTCAAGTGATGAACCAGTAAATCCTGTCACACTGTACACATGGGCACTGGACTGCTGTTTTAAGACAGACTTAAAAAAATATGAAGCTATCTTTTTAAATGGGAAAAATGAACAGAGAAAAACGTTAATTGTTTTCAATTATAATTATGTATATACTGGTCATGACTTGACTTACTGGTATTTCCATATTTCTTCCATACAATCCCAATTAAAGCGCCGATGAAAAGCCCGCCAAGACTTAAACCAATGTAGAGAACTGTAAGAACAGAGGAGAACAGAGAAGTCAAGATTTGTTCTTCAATGTGGGTCCATCCCTTTCCCACAGCTGCTTCTCTCTCTCTTACACTTATAATCTTTTATGCAAGTACTTATAAGAGTGCTATTTTTCTGCTTTTATTATGTCTTATATATTGATTTAAATCTTTAAGCTGTTCCCTTTTTATTACTGTTCTTGTTATTCCAGTCTGTCCACATGTGTGGGGTTTAGGTCAGGGATGTGGGGTTGCTGATTGTTTTCCTCACTAGCTGTTCTCCTTCCTTGACTGGTCCCAGTCAAGGACCTTTTGTTCCCCAAAACATAGATGCTCAGACTGTGCAAATGATCATGCAATTGTTTGCTCAGGGCCAGACGTTAGTGACTGTCTTAGGAGACAGAACCTCTGGTCCAGATGATTTTGTTGTAGTACTTCTCTGTTTATTCTCTTTTGTTAAATTAATTCTTCAAAGACAACAGTTTGTTGTAACTCAATTATTTGCTCAACCTCTCACCAGGAATACAATTTCCACGACAGAAACGAATTAAATAAAATATTAAGGTATGTGATAAAATTCTGGCCCACAGGAAAAGTAGATGAGTGGCTGTCGGGGGTTACAAATAAATAAAAGTCAAGATATTTACTTAGTGTCAACATGAGGCGGACCTTCGGTGGGTTCTGGATTTTCGGCTGTTGAAAAACGTTGTTAACTTGTAAATGCGTACGTTGTGTTTAAGTCCTAAAATACTTTTAACACGTTACAAATATGTAATGTAGATATTTACTTACTTGTAACATGAACCGGACCTTTGGTGGGCTTTCTCTCTGTTGAAAAACATTGTGTTTAAGTGCTAAAATACTTTTAACACATTACAAATATGTAATGTTTTCTCTTATGTCATTTTCATGTGTATTAGGTTAGCTGTACTCACCAACAACGAGGGTAATGTTATGTTCGGGATGTTCTGGGACCTCGCAGCTGTAATTTCCTGCATCCCGTTCAGTGACATTGGTCAGTTTTAGTGAAAGGTTTCCTCTGGTCATTTCATCATGGAAGAGAGATGTTCTATTTTTGAAGTTAGTGTCCTGATTAGTTAGACAGTCCTTCCCATACTGATATGTGTGCACAATCTGGTCCCTGTGTTTCCACGTCACTTTTGAATTGTTCTTGTCAAACACGGTGTGGCATGGTAGAATGACGTCATCTCCGATTACTGCTTGAATTATCTCTTCTGTGGAAACAAACATAGCAGTTAGACTTCCTGTTGCTGGATCACTGAACAATTTCTCTAATAATTAAAACTAGGATGGCTGAGCAACTTATTTTTAAGTATTTTATTAGCACACAGTATACATGCCTATTATAACTGTAGCCAAGTTTCATCCAATGGAGAAAAGAAGAAGTGAATTATTTAATTTCCATTAAGAATATTAAGAGTTGGCACGCTGAGATTTTGGCTGTACTATAAGAACTGGACACTGGACTTAAAGATGACGCCTAATCACTGGAGACCCTTTGGAGGTCCCCAACCCCTAGGTTAGGAACCACTGGCTAAAAGTAGCTTACTGTGTATTCAGACCATCCTCAACAGAAAAACTGCTGTCGATTGTGCAGCATCTTATTATGATTTACGTTTATTGCAAGGCGGCGACTACCTCTAGTGGTCGTGGGATGTAGCAAAGGAGGAAGTCAGGTGATGCAGTATGAAGAGCAAGGAAGTCTGCACGAGGAGGTGGATGGAGAGGATAGATGTGTCAAACAGGAGCACTTTCACACAGGACACCCATATGCAAACAAGTCAACGTTGACTTGTGAAATAGCTTAACTGACAGAGTTAGTCATGATTTACGTGACTGACGTCATGCACTTATTGTAATTCAAACCAGATGTTTCCCTATACCTAACCAAGCAGTTTCATCCCAGCCACCCCCCTACCCGTCCCCATTTTGAAGGTTTCTTTAGTACGCCAGTCGAGGGAGTGACTTCAGTGGTGAATTAGACTATGTCCTTTACGAAGACGTTTTGAGAGGCATTGAAAAACAACCTATTTTGACATAATTAGTTCCACCTCAAGCAGCTTCAACAATAATGATGCATCATTATTAGTATTATTATTATTATAATATAAATATAATCATAGGTCTGTAGGCTATGAATAACAGGAGATTTTCTACAAAAAATAAATAATTTTACTTTGACATTTAATGCACATTTTACTGATAATACTTTTGAGCTTTTACTTGAGTAGGATTTCGAATACAGGACTTCTTCCCCCTCTGTTTATAGGCTATATATTATTATAACGTTCTTATATTCTGATAAGTAAAATGTTGAGCTTTGTGCAAAAAACAGCATAGGCCCACGACATTAACAAGACGCATTTTACAGTAGGCTAAGTGCTGGAAAAAAGAGGTGAAAATTAAAATCACTTCCGCTTTCAAAGATTAGTCACTTCCAGCGGCGTCGCCAGGGATGTTTTTTGAAAGGCCGAAAATTGAACCTTCGGCTACTCGTTTAACTAACTTTACGTGCGCGGGAGTGAGAGAGATTATTGTTATTATTTATTGTCCTGCAAATTAGCGGAGAATAAGATGATCCAGCTGTAGCTCTGTGTCTCTCCTCTCTGCTCCCCCTGAAGCTGTGAGCTGCGCTTACATTAAATTGTCTGGATTTTCTTTTCTTTAACAAGTCGGCAAGTTAAACACTTTCCATTAACGGCACATTAAAAGCGTCTTTAGTCTCTGCAGAGCAAATGAAGACTACACACTGTAACATCTATGTCAGAAGATCACTGCATTGACTGAGATACAGTGGATAGAAAAAGTCTACACACCCCTGTTAAAATGCCAGGTTCTTATGATGTAAAATAATGAGACAAAGATAAATCATGTCAGAACTTTTATAAAAAACCCTCAAATAACCTGGTTGCATTAGTGTGCACACCCTCTTATAACTTGGGATGTGGCTGTGGTCAGAATTAACCAATCGCATTCAAACTCAGGTTAACTAGAAGTCATTACACACCTGCCATCATTTAAAGTGACTCTGGTTAATCACAAATAAAGTTCACCTGTTCTAGTAGGGTTTTCCTGATATTTTCTTAGTTGCATCTCCGAGCAAAAGCAATGGTCCGCAGAGAGCTTTCAAAGCATCAGAGTGATCTCAAATCAATAACCGGAACTTTGGTGGGTTCTAGCTTTCTCTCTGTTGAAAAACATTGTGTTTAAGTGCTAAAATACTTTTAACACATTACAAATATGTAATGTAGATATTTACTTACTTGTAACATGAACCGGACCTTTGGTGGGCTTTCTCTCTGTTGAAAAACATTGTGTTTAAGTGCTAAAATACTTTTAACACATTACAAATATGTAATGTTTTCTCTTATGTCATTTTCATGTGTATTAGGTTAGCTGTACTCACCAACAACGAGGGTAATGTTATGTCCGGGATGTTCTGGGACCTCGCAGCTGTAACTTCCTGCATCCCGTTCAGTGACATTGGTCAGTTTTAGTGAAAGGTTTCCTCTGGTCATTTCATCATGGAAGAGAGATGTTCTATTTTTGAAGTTAGTGTCCTGATTAGTTAGATAGTCCTTCCCATACTGATATGTGTGCACAATCTGGCCACTGTGTTTCCACGTCACTTTTGAATTGTTCTTGTCAAACACGGTGTGGCATGGTAGAATGACGTCATCTCCGATTACTGCTTGAATTTCTGTGGAAACAAACATAGCAGTTAGACTTCCTGTTGCTGGATCACTGAACAATTTCTCTAATAATTAAAACTAGGATGGCTGAGCAACTTATTTTTAAGTATTTTATTAGCACACAGTATACATGCCTATTATAACTGTAGCCAAGTTTCATCCAATGGAGAAAAGAAGAAGTGAATTATTTAATTTCCATTACGAATATTAGGAGTTGGCACGCTGAGATTTTGGCTGTACTATAAGAACTGGACACTGGACTTAAAGATGACGCCTAATCACTGGAGACCCTTTGGAGGTCCCTGACCCCTAGGTTAGGAGCCACTGGCTAAAAGTAGCTTACTGTGTATTCAGACCATCCTCAACAGAAAAACTGCTGTCGATTGTGCAGCATCTTATTATGATTTACGTTTATTGCAAGGCGGCGACTACCTCTAGTGGTCGTGGGATGTAGCAAAGGAGGAAGTCAGGTGATGCAGTATGAAGAGCAAGGAAGTCTGCACGAGGAGGTGGATGGAGAGGATAGATGTGTCAAACAGGAGCACTTTCACACAGGACACCCATATGCAAACAAGTCAACGTTGACTTGTGAAATAGCTTAACTGACAGAGTTAGTCATGATTTACGTGACTGACGTCATGCACTTATTGTAATTCAAACCAGATGTTTCCCTATACCTAACCAAGCAGTTTCATCCCAGCCACCCCCCTACCCGTCCCCATTTTGAAGGTTTCTTTAGTACGCCAGTCGAGGGAGTGACTTCAGTGGTGAATTGTCCTTTACGAAGACGTTTTGAGAGGCATTGAAAAACAACCTATTTTGACAGTATAATTAGTTCCACCTCAAGCAGCTTCAACAATAATGATGCATCAGTATTAGTATTATTATTATTATAATATAAATACAATCATAGGTCTGTAGGCTATGAATAACAGGAGATTTTTACAAAAAATAAATAATTTTACTTAGACATTTAATGCACATTTTACTGATAATACTTTTGAGCTTTTACTTGAGTAGGATTTCGAATACAGGACTTCTTCCCCCTCTGTTTATAGGCTATATATTATTATAACGTTCTTATATTCTGAGAAGTAAAATGTTGAGCTTTGTGCAAAAAACAGCATAGGCCCACGACATTAACAAGACGCATTTTACAGTAGGCTAAGTGCTGGAAAAAAGAGGTGAAAATTAAAATCACTTCCGCTTTCAAAGATTAGTCACTTCCAGCGGCGTCGCCAGGGATGTTTTTTGAAAGGCCGAAAATTGAACCTTCGGCTACTCGTTTAACTAAGAGAGATTATTGTTATTATTTATTGTCCTGCAAATTAGCGGAGAATAAGATGATCCAGCTGTAGCTCTGTGTCTCTCCTCTCTGCTCCCCCTGAAGCTGTGAGCTGAGCTTACATTAAATTGTCTGGATTTTCTTTTCTTTAACAAGTCGGCAAGTTAAACACTTTCCATTAACGGCACATTAAAAGCGTCTTTAGTCTCTGCAGAGCAAATGAAGACTACACACTGTAACATCTATGTCAGACGATCACTGCATTGACTGAGATACAGTGAATAGAAAAAGTCTACACACCCCTGTTAAAATGCCAGGTTCTTATGATGTAAAATAATGAGACAAAGATAAATCATGTCAGAACTTTTATAAAAAACCCTCAAATAACCTGGTTGCATTAGTGTGCACACCCTCTTATAACTTGGGATGTGGCTGTGGTCAGAATTAACCAATCGCATTCAAACGCAGGTTAACTAGAAGTCATTACACACCTGCCATCATTTAAAGTGACTCTGGTTAATCACAAATAAAGTTCACCTGTTCTAGTAGGGTTTTCCTGATATTTTCTTAGTTGCATCTCCGAGCAAAAGCAATGGTCCGCAGAGAGCTTTCAAAGCATCAGAGTGATCTCATTGTTGAAAGACATCAGGAGACGGGTACAAAAGAATTTCCAAAGCATTAGATATACCATGGAACACAGTGAAGACCGTCATCATCAAGTGGAGAAAATATGGCACAACTGTGACTTTACCAAGAACTGGACATCCCTCCAAAGTTGATGAAAAGACGAAAAGAAAACTGGTCAGGGAGGCTTCCAAGAGGCCTACAGCAACATTAAAGGAACTGCAGGAATTTCTGGCAAGTACTGGCTGTGTGATACATGTGACAACTATCTCCATTTCTTACAAAGAAAAACATCCAAGCACGGCTGAAGTTTGCAAAAACAAACATCAAGTCCCCCAAAAGCATGTGGGAAAATGTTACGGTCTGATGAAACCAAGGTAGAACTTCTTGGCCATAACTCCAAAAGGTGTGTTTGGCGCAAAAACAACACTGCACATCAACCACGGAACAGCATACCCACAGTGAAGCATGGAGGTGGCAGCATCATGCTTTGGGGCTGTTTTTCTACAGCTGTAACCGGGGACTTAGTCAGGGTGGAGGGAATTATGAACACTTCCAAATACCAGGCAATTTTGGCACAAAACCTTCAGGCGTTGGTTAGAAAGATGAAGAGGAAGTTCACCTTTCAGCACGACAACGACCCAAAGCAAACTTCCAAATCCACAAAAGCATGGCTTCACCAAAGAAGATTAATTTTTGAGCCCAGACTTGAATCCATTTCAACATCTGTGCGGTGATCTGAAGAGGGCTGTGCACATGCGATGTCCTCGCAATCTGACAGATTTGGAGCGCTTTTGCGAAGAAGAGTGGGCAAATATTGCTATGTCAAGATGTGCCATGCTAATAGAGTCCTACCCATAAAGACTGAGTGCTGTAATAAAATCAAAAGGTGCTTCAACAAAGTATTAGTCTAAGGGTGTGCACACTTATGCAACCAGGTTATTTGAGGGTTTTCATTTTCATTTTTCCCCCTCAAAGATTTCAATTTGTTTTTCAATTGAATTGTTCACATTGTAGGTCACAGTAAATGTTCTGACATGATTTATCTTTGTCTCATTATTTACATAAGAACCTAGAATTTTAACAGGGCTGTGTAGACCTTTTCTATCCACTGTATATTGAGTGTCCTGTTGTTGAGCATCGCCTTGGACATTAGCCTGTTCCTTTTCTTTAATGCACATTGGTTACTATTTGTTTCATAGCGATGTCCGACGGTCCAAAAACTGAATGTGGCCATGAAACTAATCTTTTTCGCAGGTGGACCGCGGATTGATTGAGAAAGTTTATGATGATTTATTCTGTTTGACCTCTCAAAATATCCTTTATTCTGGAAATGTCAGAGAACCCTGATAGATTCTGAATGTGCAGAACTTTGAACATGAGCAGAAAACCTGCTGAAACACAGGAGCTATTAAAGTCCAGTCCAAAATTTAATTTATTATTGAAGAGGTAAAAAGGTGCCACATGCACATTTAAAGAGGTTACCTCAATCAGTCACGTCTGCATGTGTGTTGATTCAGCAGTGATGATATTAAAAGTTGATCTACAGGAGAAACATATCTGAAAGCTGAGAGCTGCTCTGCATTATATTCTGTTACAGTTTTAGATTTTAAATTGTTTTTAAAACTTTTTTTCCAACAGTGTCCTGGCCAAGGCAGGCAGTAGTACAATTGCACATTTAAGATGGAAATAAATAATCAGTTACAAGGTCATAAAATATCTAAATGTTCTTAAATATTTGCCACAATTCAGCAACACCTGATTTTTGTGTGTCCCTTTACATAAATAATATCCACAATAAATTGATGCAGAAAAGGCAGAAATTGTTGGAGAAAAACACCAGAATGCAGGAAATTAAGTGTTTAACACTCACAATTTTCTGGAAGAGTACCCCCCATACTGTCACAGTTTTGTTATTTTATTATAATTACACACATTTCATTACAATTTATCAAAATGAGACCGTTAATAGTGTTGTTGTGAGTTTTGTTGTGCTGTAGCCTATAAGTAGAGGATGTTTAATGTTGCTTTACTGCTTTACAGACTTAACGTTGGGGTGGGGGTGTCAATTATTATGTGAAGATATGAAGTTTTATGGGCTGGGCTACGCCCCCAATGTTTCAAGATCCTAAAAACGCCACTTCTGGTCACTTCTCTTTCAAACAACGGAAAATCCCGTCTTTAAGCTGTTCCCTTTTTATTACTGTTCTTGTTATTCCAGTCTGTCCACATGTGTGGGGTTTAGGTCAGGGATGTGGGGTTGCTGATTGTTTTCCTCACTAGCTGTTCTCCTTCCTTGACTGGGACCAGTCAAGGACCTTTTGTTCCCCAAAACATAGATGCTCAGACTGTGCAAATGATCATGCAATTGTTTGCTCAGGGCCAGACGTTAGTGACTGTCTTAGGAGACAGAACCTCTGGTCCAGCTGATTTTGTTGTAGTACTTCTCTGTTTATTCTCTTTTGTTAAATTAATTCTTCAAAGACAACAGTTTGTTGTAACTCAATTATTTGCTCAACCTCTCACCAGGAATACAATTTTCACGACAGGAACGAATTAAATAAAATATTAAGGTATGTGATAAAATTCTGGCCCACAGGAAAAGTAGATGAGTGGCTGTCGGGGGTTACAAATAATAAAAGTCAAGATATTTACTTGCTGTCAACATGAGGCGGACCTTTGGTGGGTTCTGGATTTTTGGCTGTTGAAAAACGTTGTTAACTTGTAAATGCGTACGTTGTGTTTAAGTGCTAAAATACTTTTAACACATTACAAATATGTAATGTTTTCTCTTATGTCATTTTAATGTGTATTAGGTTAGCTGTACTCACCAACAACGAGGGTAATGAGATGTCCGGGATGTTCTGGGACCTCGCAGCTGTAACTTCCTGCATCCCGTTCAGTGACATTGGTCAGTTTTAGTGAAAGGTTTCCTCTGGTCATTTCATCATGGAAGAGAGATGTTCTATTTTTGAAGTTAGTGTGCTGATTAGTTAGATAGTCCTTCCCATACTGATATGTGTGCACAATCTGGTCCCTGTGTTTCCACGTCACTTTTGAATTGTTCTTGTCAAACACGGTGTGGCATGGTAGAATGACGTCATCTCCGATTACTGCTTGAATTTCTGTGGAAACAAACATAGCAGTTAGACTTCCTGTTGCTGGATCACTGAACAATTTCTCTAATAATTAAAACTAGGATGGCTGAGCAACTTATTTTTAAGTATTTTATTAGTACACAGTATACATGCCTATTATAACTGTAGCCAAGTTTCATCCAATGGAGAAAAGAAGAAGTGAATTATTTAATTTCCATTACGAATATTAGGAGTTGGCACGCTGAGATTTTGGCTGTACTATAAGAACTGGACACTGGACTTAAAGATGACGCCTAATCACTGGAGACCCTTTGGAGGTCCCTGACCCCTAGGTTAGGAGCCACTGGCTAAAAGTAGCTTACTGTGTATTCAGACCATCCTCAACAGAAAAACTGCTGTCGATTGTGCAGCATCTTATTATGATTTACGTTTATTGCAAGGCGGCGACTACCTCTAGTGGTCGTGGATGTAGCAAAGGAGGAAGTCAGGTGATGCAGTATGAAGAGCAAGGAAGTCTGCACGAGGAGGTGGATGGAGAGGATAGATGTGTCAAACAGGAGCACTTTCACACAGGACACCCATATGCAAACAAGTCAACGTTGACTTGTGAAATAGCTTAACTGACAGAGTTAGTCATGATTTACGTGACTGACGTCATGCACTTATTGTAATTCAAACCAGATGTTTCCCTATACCTAACCAAGCAGTTTCATCCCAGCCACCCCCCTACCCGTCCCCATTTTGAAGGTTTCTTTAGTACGCCAGTCGAGGGAGTGACTTCAGTGGTGAATTGTCCTTTACGAAGACGTTTTGAGAGGCATTGAAAAACAACCTATTTTGACATTTAGGTATGAGGACATGAGTATAATTAGTTCCACCTCAAGCAGCTTCAACAATAATGATGCATCAGTATTAGTATTATTATTATTATAATATAAATACAATCATAGGTCTGTAGGCTATGAATAACAGGAGATTTTCTACAAAAAATAAATAATTTTACTTAGACATTTAATGCACATTTTACTGATAATACTTTTGAGCTTTTACTTGAGTAGGATTTCGAATACAGGACTTCTTCCCCCTCTGTTTATAGGCTATATATTATTATAACGTTCTTATATTCTGAGAAGTAAAATGTTGAGCTTTGTGCAAAAAACAGCATAGGCCCACGACATTAACAAGACGCATTTTACAGTAGGCTAAGTGCTGGAAAAAAGAGGTGAAAATTAAAATCACTTCCGCTTTCAAAGATTAGTCACTTCCAGCGGCGTCGCCAGGGATGTTTTTTGAAAGGCCGAAAATTGAACCTTCGGCTACTCGTTTAACTAACTTTACGTGCGCGGGACTGAGAGAGATTATTGTTATCATTTATTGTCCTGCAAATTAGCGGAGAATAAGATGATCCAGCTGTAGCTCTGTGTCTCTCCTCTCTGCTCCACCTGAAGCTGTGAGCTGAGCTTACATTAAATTGTCTGGATTTTCTTTTCTTTAACAAGTCGGCAAGTTAAACACTTTCCATTAACGGCACATTAAAAGCCTCTTTAGTCTCTGCAGAGCAAATGAAGACTACACACTGTAACATCTATGTCAGAAGATCACTGCATTGACTGAGATACAGTGAATAGAAAAAGTCTACACACCCCTGTTAAAATGCCAGGTTCTTATGATGTAAAATAATGAGACAAAGATAAATCATGTCAGAACTTTTATAAAAAACCCTCAAATAACCTGGTTGCATTAGTGTGCACACCCTCTTATAACTTGGGATGTGGCTGTGGTCAGAATTAACCAATCGCATTCAAACTCAGGTTAACTAGAAGTCATTACACACCTGCCATCATTTAAAGTGACTCTGGTTAATCACAAATAAAGTTCACCTGTTCTAGTAGGGTTTTCCTGATATTTTCTTAGTTGCATCTCCGAGCAAAAGCAATGGTCCGCAGAGAGCTTTCAAAGCATCAGAGTGATCTCATTGTTGAAAGACATCAGGAGACGGGTACAAAAGAATTTCCAAAGCATTAGATATACCATGGAACACAGTGAAGACCGTCATCATCAAGTGGAGAAAATATGGCACAACTGTGACTTTACCAAGAACTGGACATCCCTCCAAAGTTGATGAAAAGACGAAAAGAAAACTGGTCAGGGAGGCTTCCAAGAGGCCTACAGCAACATTAAAGGAACTGCAGGAATTTCTGGCAAGTACTGGCTGTGTGATACATGTGACAACTATCTCCATTTCTTACAAAGAAAAACATCCAAGCACGGCTGAAGTTTGCAAAAACAAACATCAAGTCCCCCAAAAGCATGTGGGAAAATGTTACGGTCTGATGAAACCAAGGTAGAACTTCTTGGCCATAACTCCAAAAGGTGTGTTTGGCGCAAAAACAACACTGCACATCAACCACGGAACAGCATACCCACAGTGAAGCATGGAGGTGGCAGCATCATGCTTTGGGGCTGTTTTTCTACAGCTGTAACCGGGGACTTAGTCAGGGTGGAGGGAATTATGAACACTTCCAAATACCAGGCAATTTTGGCACAAAACCTTCAGGCGTTGGTTAGAAAGATGAAGAGGAAGTTCACCTTTCAGCACGACAACGACCCAAAGCAAACTTCCAAATCCACAAAAGCATGGCTTCACCAGAAGAAGATTAATTTTTGAGCCCAGACTTGAATCCATTTCAACATCTGTGCGGTGATCTGAAGAGGGCTGTGCACATGCGATGTCCTCGCAATCTGACAGATTTGGAGCGCTTTTGCGAAGAAGAGTGGGCAAATATTGCTATGTCAAGATGTGCCATGCTAATAGACTCCTACCCATAAAGACTGAGTGCTGTAATAAAATCAAAAGGTGCTTCAACAAAGTATTAGTCTAAGGGTGTGCACACTTGTGCAACCAGGTTATTTGAGGGTTTTCATTTTCATTTTTCCCCCTCAAAGATTTCAATTTGTTTTTCAATTGAATTGTTCACATTGTAGGTCACAGTAAATGTTCTGACATGATTTATCTTTGTCTCATTATTTTACATAAGAACCTAGAATTTTAACAGGGCTGTGTAGACCTTTTCTATCCACTGTATATTGAGTGTCCTGTTGTTGAGCATCGCCTTGGACATTAGCCTGTTCCTTTTCTTTAATGCACATTGGTTACTATTTGTTTCATAGCGATGTCCGACGGTCCAAAAACTGAATGTGGCCATGAAACTAATCTTTTTCGCAGGTGGACCGCGGATTGATTGAGAAAGTTTATGATGATTTATTCTGTTTGACCTCTCAAAATATCCTTTATTCTGGAAATGTCAGAGAACCCTGATAGATTCTGAATGTGCAGAACTTTGAACATGAGCAGAAAACCTGCTGAAACACAGGAGCTATTAAAGTCCAGTCCAAAATTTAATTTATTATTGAAGAGGTAAAAAGGTACCACATGCACATTTAAAGAGGTTACCTCAATCAGTCACGTCTGCATGTGTGTTGATTCAGCAGTGATGATATTAAAAGTTGATCTACAGGAGAAACATATCTGAAAGCTGAGAGCTGCTCTGCATTATATTCTGTTACAGTTTTAGATTTTAAATTGTTTTATTATACCTTTATTAAACCAAAAAACTTTTTTTCCAACAGTGTCCTGGCCAAGGCAGGCAGTAGTACAATTGCACATTTAAGATGGAAATAAATAATCAGTTACAAGGTCATAAAATATCTAAATGTTCTTAAATATTTGCCACAATTCAGCAACACCTGATTTTTGTGTGTCCCTTTACATAAATAATATCCACAATAAATTGATGCAGAAAAGGCAGAAATTGTTGGAGAAAAACACCAGAATGCAGGAAATTAAGTGTTTAACACTCACAATTTTCTGGAAGAGTACCCCCCATACTGTCACAGTTTTGTTATTTTATTATAATTACACACATTTCATTACAATTTATCAAAATGAGACAGTTAATAGTGTTGTTGTGAGTTTTGTTGTGCTGTAGCCTATAAGTAGAGGATGTTTAATGTTGCTTTACTGCTTTACAGACTTAACGTTGGGGTGGGGGTGTCAATTATTATGTGAAGATATGAAGTTTTATGGGCTGGGCTACGCCCCCAATGTTTCAAGATCCTAAAAACGCCACTTCTGGTCACTTCTCTTTCAAACAACGGAAAATCCCGTCTTTAAGCTGTTCCCTTTTTATTACTGTTCTTGTTATTCCAGTCTGTCCACATGTGTGGGGTTTAGGTCAGGGATGTGGGGTTGCTGATTGTTTTCCTCACTAGCTGTTCTCCTTCCTTGACTGGGACCAGTCAAGGACCTTTTGTTCCCCAAAACATAGATGCTCAGACTGTGCAAATGATCATGCAATTGTTTGCTCAGGGCCAGACGTTAGTGACTGTCTTAGGAGACAGAACCTCTGGTCCAGCTGATTTTGTTGTAGTACTTCTCTGTTTATTCTCTTTTGTTAAATTAATTCTTCAAAGACAACAGTTTGTTGTAACTCAATTATTTGCTCAACCTCTCACCAGGAATACAATTTTCATGACAGGAACAAATTAAATAAAATATTAAGGTATGTGATAAAATTCTGGCCCACAGGAAAAATAGATGAGTGGCTGTCGGGGGTTACAAATAATAAAAGTCAAGATATTTACTTGCTGTCAACATGAGGCGGACCTTTGGTGGGTTCTGGATTTTTGGCTGTTGAAAAACGTTGTTAACTTGTAAATGCGTACGTTGTGTTTAAGTGCTAAAATACTTTTAACACATTACAAATATGTAATGTTTTCTCTTATGTCATTTTAATGTGTATTAGGTTAGCTGTACTCACCAACAACGAGGGTAATGAGATGTTTGGACTGTTCTGGGACCTCGCAGCTGTAACTTCCTGCATCCCGTTCAGTGACATTGGTCAGTTTTAGTGAAAGGTTTCCTCTGGTCATTTCATCATGGAAGAGAGATGTTCTATTTTTGAAGTTAGTGTGCTGATTAGTTAGATAGTCCTTCCCATACTGATATGTGTGCACAATCTGGCCACTGTGTTTCCACGTCACTTTTGAATTGTTCTTGTCAAACACGGTGTGGCATGGTAGAATGACGTCATTTCCGATTACTGCTTGAATTTCTGTGGAAACAAACATAGCAGTTAGACTTCCTGTTGCTGGATCACTGAACAATTTCTCTAATAATTAAAACTAGGATGGCTGAGCAACTTATTTTTAAGTATTTTATTAGCACACAGTATACATGCCTATTATAACTGTAGCCAAGTTTCATCCAATGGAGAAAAGAAGAAGTGAATTATTTAATTTCCATTACGAATATTAGGAGTTGGCACGCTGAGATTTTGGCTGTACTATAAGAACTGGACACTGGACTTAAAGATGACGCCTAATCACTGGAGACCCTTTGGAGGTCCCTGACCCCTAGGTTAGGAGCCACTGGCTAAAAGTAGCTTACTGTGTATTCAGACCATCCTCAACAGAAAAACTGCTGTCGATTGTGCAGCATCTTATTATGATTTACGTTTATTGCAAGGCGGCGACTACCTCTAGTGGTCGTGGGATGTAGCAAAGGAGGAAGTCAGGTGATGCAGTATGAAGAGCAAGGAAGTCTGCACGAGGAGGTGGATGGAGAGGATAGATGTGTCAAACAGGAGCACTTTCACACAGGACACCCATATGCAAACAAGTCAACGTTGACTTGTGAAATAGCTTAACTGACAGAGTTAGTCATGATTTACGTGACTGACGTCATGCACTTATTGTAATTCAAACCAGATGTTTCCCTATACCTAACCAAGCAGTTTCATCCCAGCCACCCCCCTACCCGTCCCCATTTTGAAGGTTTCTTTAGTACGCCAGTCGAGGGAGTGACTTCAGTGGTGAATTAGACTATGTCCTTTACGAAGACGTTTTGAGAGGCATTGAAAAACAACCTATTTTGACAGTATAATTAGTTCCACCTCAAGCAGCTTCAACAATAATGATGCATCAGTATTAGTATTATTATTATTATAATATAAATACAATCATAGGTCTGTAGGCTATGAATAACAGGAGATTTTCTACAAAAAATAAATAATTTTACTTAGACATTTAATGCACATTTTACTGATAATACTTTTGAGCTTTTACTTGAGTAGGATTTCGAATACAGGACTTCTTCCCCCTCTGTTTATAGGCTATATATATTATAACGTTCTTATATTCTGAGAAGTAAAATGTTGAGCTTTGTGCAAAAAACAGCATAGGCCCACGACATTAACAAGACGCATTTTACAGTAGGCTAAGTGCTGGAAAAAAGAGGTGAAAATTAAAATCACTTCCGCTTTCAAAGATTAGTCACTTCCAGCGGCGTCGCCAGGGATGTTTTTTGAAAGGCCGAAAATTGAACCTTCGGCTACTCGTTTAACTAACTTTACGTGCGCGGGACTGAGAGAGATTATTGTTATCATTTATTGTCCTGCAAATTAGCGGAGAATAAGATGATCCAGCTGTAGCTCCGTGTCTCTCCTCTCTGCTCCCCCTGAAGCTGTGAGCTGAGCTTACATTAAATTGTCTGGATTTTCTTTTCTTTAACAAGTCGGCAAGTTAAACACTTTCCATTAACGGCACATTAAAAGCGTCTTTAGTCTCTGCAGAGCAAATGAAGACTACACACTGTAACATCTATGTCAGACGATCACTGCATTGACTGAGATACAGTGAATAGAAAAAGTCTACACACCCCTGTTAAAATGCCAGGTTCTTATGATGTAAAATAATGAGACAAAGATAAATCATGTCAGAACTTTTATAAAAAACCCTCAAATAACCTGGTTGCATTAGTGTGCACACCCTCTTATAACTTGGGATGTGGCTGTGGTCAGAATTAACCAATCGCATTCAAACTCAGGTTAACTAGAAGTCATTACACACCTGCCATCATTTAAAGTGACTCTGGTTAATCACAAATAAAGTTCACCTGTTCTAGTAGGGTTTTCCTGATATTTTCTTAGTTGCATCTCCGAGCAAAAGCAATGGTCCGCAGAGAGCTTTCAAAGCATCAGAGTGATCTCATTGTTGAAAGACATCAGGAGACGGGTACAAAAGAATTTCCAAAGCATTAGATATACCATGGAACACAGTGAAGACCGTCATCATCAAGTGGAGAAAATATGGCACAACTGTGACTTTACCAAGAACTGGACATCCCTCCAAAGTTGATGAAAAGACGAAAAGAAAACTGGTCAGGGAGGCTTCCAAGAGGCCTACAGCAACATTAAAGGAACTGCAGGAATTTCTGGCAAGTACTGGCTGTGTGATACATGTGACAACTATCTCCATTTCTTACAAAGAAAAACATCCAAGCACGGCTGAAGTTTGCAAAAACAAACATCAAGTCCCCCAAAAGCATGTGGGAAAATGTTACGGTCTGATGAAACCAAGGTAGAACTTCTTGGCCATAACTCCAAAAGGTGTGTTTGGCGCAAAAACAACACTGCACATCAACCACGGAACAGCATACCCACAGTGAAGCATGGAGGTGGCAGCATCATGCTTTGGGGCTGTTTTTCTACAGCTGTAACCGGGGACTTAGTCAGGGTGGAGGGAATTATGAACACTTCCAAATACCAGGCAATTTTGGCACAAAACCTTCAGGCGTTGGTTAGAAAGATGAAGAGGAAGTTCACCTTTCAGCACGACAACGACCCAAAGCAAACTTCCAAATCCACAAAAGCATGGCTTCACCAAAAGAAGATTAATTTTTGAGCCCAGACCTGAATCCATTTGAACATCTGTGCGGTGATCTGAAGAGGGCTGTGCACATGCGATGTCCTCGCAATCTGACAGATTTGGAGCGCTTTTGCGAAGAAGAGTGGGCAAATATTGCTATGTCAAGATGTGCCATGCTAATAGACTCCTACCCATAAAGACTGAGTGCTGTAATAAAATCAAAAGGTGCTTCAACAAAGTATTAGTCTAAGGGTGTGCACACTTATGTAACCAGGTTATCTGAGGGTTTTAATTGTCATTTTTCCCCCTCAAAGATTTCAATTTGTTTTTCAATTGAATTGTTCACATTGTAGGTCACAGTAAATGTTCTGACATGATTTATCTTTGTCTCATTATTTTACATAAGAACCTGGAATTTTAACAGGGGTGTGTAGACCTTTTCTATCCACTGTATATTGAGTGTCCTGTTGTTGAGCATCGCCTAGGACATTAGTGGTGGTGATTGAGAAAGTTTATGATGATTTATTCTGTTTGACCTCTCAAAATATCCTTTATTCTGGAAATGTCAGAGAACCCTGATAGATTCTGAATGTGCAGAACTTTGAACATGAGCAGAAAACCTGCTGAAACACAGGAGCTATTAAAGTACAGGAGTTTATAACTTAATTAAAATTATTTAATTTATTATTGAAGAGGTAAAAAGGTGCCACATGCACATTTAAAGAGGTTACCTCAATCAGTCACGTCTGCATGTGTGTTGATTCAGCAGTGATGATATTAAAAGTTGATCTACAGGAGAAACATATCTGAAAGCTGAGAGCTGCTCTGTATTATATTCTGTTACAGTTTTAGATTTCAAATTGTTTTATTATACCTTTATTAAACCAAAAAACTCTTTTTCCAACAGTGTCCTGGCCAAGGCAGGCAGTAGTACAATTGCACATTTAAGATGGAAATAAATAATAAGTTACAAGGTCATAAAATATCTAAATGTTCTTAAATATTTGCCACAATTCAGCAACACCTGATTTTTGTGTGTCCCTTTACATAAATAATATCCACAATAAATTGATGCAGAAAAGGCAGAAATTGTTGGAGGAAAACACCAGAATGCAGGAAATTAAGTGTTTAACACTCACAATTTTCTGGAAGAGTACCCCCCATACTGTCACAGTTTTGTTATTTTATTATAATTACACACATTTCATTACAATTTATCAAAATGAGACCGTTAATAGTGTTGTTGTGAGTTTTGTTGTGCTGTAGCCTATAAGTAGAGGATGTTTACTGTTGCTTTACTGCTTTACAGACTTAACTTTGGGGTGGGGGTGTCAATTATTATGTGAAGATATGAAGTTTTATGGGCTGGGCTACGCCCCCAATGTTTCAAGATCCTAAAAACGCCACTTCTGGTCACTTCTCTTTCAAACAACGGAAAATCCCGTCGGAACAAATTCATCAGACCAGCTGCGTTGTTTCGCAAGGACTTTTGCCCAAACGTGTTCAACAGTTAGGCTACATGATAAATCCGATTCAGAGATCCCATAAACAAATCAGGGCCTAGCCTACTGAAGCTTTTAAAACTGATTTACGGTTCTGTTATCAACGAGTATTAAAACATAAACACACAATAAACGATTTGTCGATTCAAGTTGCTTCTCTTTTTTCAAGAAAACGGGACCTGGCACTGATCTCAGTAGCGAAACTGCAACGTTGATTTTTAAGTGGCCCAATTCTACCGGTCGAATAGCTGCAGCGATCCGGTTTATTAACGAGCGAGAACAGCTGAGTGAAACGTCTTTCAACAAGTAGGGCCTGACTATTAGGTCTACCTCACGTAAGAAACACCTACCTGGAGATTCCACCAGAGAGAGACAGGACATGAACACGAGAGAGTGAACCAACTTCGTTATGGTCGCTGGAAAACGAAGAGACATGGTAGATGCCACCCAGCTAATTTAATGCTTCATGAAAGAAAAGTCGATTAAGGTTCTTTTGTTCATAGGGCGGTGTGAAAAGTGGCGAGGAAAACACTGCACCACAGGAGAAAGAGAAAGTAAGAAGTAAATCAACGCTTTCTCTTTCTCCCATGAGGCGGTGACGGGGGAATGAAAACATTTCAGGGAGTTTTACATTTTTAAGGACTCATTTGATTTAATTGATTTGGCATTTTACACATACGTTCTGCTAAGAATCACTCACATCACATCAATTGATTTACTGGTCGATTGATCATTCATTTATTTTTATTTGCTCTGCAAAGACAAAGACAGAATATTTTAGCCACATCATGCAGGTCGGGAGAGCAGAGGTTGTCTGCTGTCAGGGGCTGCATTCAGCTCATGATGAAAACCGCATAAATTAAACTGGACCCCGCCAAACTCTGCTGTCAAAGGTCCAAAAACCTCTGACGAGAGGATGAAGAGGAAACTTACTGGAATAAGAATAACTCCATTTCAGCTGCAACCGCAGTGGAACAAGTCAGGAAGAAATCTAGAAATATTTTATCAAGTTGCGTGTATTAATAATAATAATAATAATAATCTTTATTTGTAGAGCACTTTTCAAAAACAAGTTACAAAGTACTTTAACAAGTGTAAAGAATAATACAAAAACAATACAAGTTAAAAGCATAAAAACCACGAAAACATTGAAAAGACTAAATACACGTTTAAGATAAATATAAAATTAGTAAAATACAATAACCGCAGAAATGTAAATATTGCCTGTCTTGTGGCTGACGTCAGGTTTCATTCTGTGGTTTTCTGTAAGAGATAGACCTTTATTATCACAAGGTTTAGTTTCAGTTTCTTAAGCAAGTGATACAGGTGAGATGGATTTCAGCATCAAGTGGGACTGAGTTGAATAAATCCAGTAAAAGATCATCAGCAAACTGAGAAACACGTCCTATATAGACTTTCGGTGGCACCGAGTGACAGCACTGAATGAAATCATAACTTTGCAAAGACTGTTTTTGGAATTGAATGAAAGCATCTGCTTTAAGCCTGGGTCCATTGCTTTTAAAAACTTAGAGCTCAAGCTAGGCTTCAAAGTCGTGTTTGCTTTGTTCTGCAGTGACCTTCGTGATTTCCTGTGTTTGGTCAGGATGTGGTAGACTACCTAGTCAGACTTGACAGAGGAAGATTGACAACATCGACACAAGATGGAGAGCACGTCCCTCTGCCTGATGCTCTGTAAGTAATTTAAACACTTGTGTAAACCTTTTCTTAAAAATCACACCAAGATCATGATTGAAGATGCTTAGTGTTTTTTGCTAAAAAAAAATACAAAACAACAAATTTTATTTTATACTCTGCCAAATGCCTGGTTGGACTGATTTCAGTGATGGGAGTTGTGATGCAACTGTACTTTTACATATCCAGCAGACACAGAACAAAATTATCAACTCTGATGTTAAAATAAGTCCAATATTCACCCTCCTTTTTAGCTTTGGTTTGGTCTCCACTAACTCATAAGAAAGATGTCTGGTTCTTTGGCCACTATAGGTTTAACTTGCTTCACCAGGTAGACTCTAACTGTCATCATGTCTATCTGCCATTTAATGCAGGACAGTGGATTTATTATGGCTCAATTGCTTTAAACAACCGACTGTTGCGGCTGGGAGTGAGGTAGCTGAGAGCACAGTCACACGACAATTTTAATGTGCTGCAAAACCAAAATGATTCCCCAGAAGAAGTTAACAAGCGCTGTAGAGCTGCAGAGCTGCAGAGTTCTTCATTAATGCAGCTTTAAATTTTACCACCTTAACAGCAATTAACCACAGCAGTATGTGTAAATTAACACATGTGATCAGCTGCATACACAGAAATAATTTAAATCCATTCCCCATTATTTCAGGTTTGACCTCCTCTGCAGCCGCACTGAGCATCACTCCCAACAGATCTCAGTTCTTTCAGCATGAGCACATCTCTCTGATGTGTGCACCACCGGCAGACTCCAGCGGCTGGACAGTGAGAAGAAACACCTCCTTTAGCACGTCTGAACCATGTGAGGAGGGATGGGGGATCCCAGGTGAGTCCTCCTGCACCATAAAATATGCTGACCCATCAGACACCGGAGTGTACTGGTGTGAGTCTGAGCAGGGGGAGCACAGCAACACCGTCAACATCACAGTGACAGGTAATACTAAATGTGTGTGGAGCATGTTTGTGTTTATTTTCTGCTTATTTCTTGTTTTTGCAATTAAACAGACTTTGTAAACTATAGTCAGATATTCTTCTATATTTCAGCTGGTGTTGTGATCCTGGAGAGCCCTGCACTTCCTGTGACGGAGGGAGACAAAGTGACACTTAACTGTTCCTACAAGGAAAAAGAGCAAATTGAATCTACGTCAGATTTCCCTGCTACGTTCTACAGAAATGGTGTTTTCATCGGAAATGAGCCTGCAGGGACGATGATCCTCCCCGCGGTGTCCGAGTCTGACGAAGGCTTCTACAAGTGCGAACTCCCCACAAAAGGAGAATCACTGCAGAGCTGGCTGTCTGTGAGAGGTGACACAAAGTTTCCAAAAAGAAATAGAAAACCTAATTTGACTGTGATTTAAAATTAAATTACTAATTTTTAGTAATTTTAGTTTAGTAGTTAAACACAAATCTACTTAAGTTATCATAGCTTGGTTTAGTCCGTACCCATGATATTTTGTTAACCTTTACTACTTTACTGATTCATTTCTAATAGTACGACAAGCTAAGAAGGCAACCAAAATGTAGCCTACTGACGCCTTCTGCTGTCTCTCGTCTTGCAGGTCATAGCAGTCAAAATTTTTGTCTCCACAAATTTGTTCTTGATTTTCTTGAATTACTTAATTTAATATAACGATTCCAAATTCTCATGTTCGCACAATGTGATTTTGTCCTGACTTTCTTCATGTTGTGCTTTTGTTAGATTTAGTTTTGTTCTGAAAAGTCTGTGTTATATTTGGATGAAAACAGAACTGATTATGTTTCATGTTGTAAACTCTGATGGTTGTTTTCTTCACAGCTCGGCCTCCAGGAGTCCCTGCCACACCTCCACCTCCTCCCCTTTCTCTTTCTAAACTAGCGTGTTCCATCCTGTTGTTCATCTTCTACACTGCCATACTCATAATTTGCATATACATGTACCGAAGGTATGCAAGAGGTAAGAACACCTCTGGAAATCCTAATAATAGCAGAATACATTGATCTGTCTGACTCATCCACAAGTCAGAGGTCAACAAATGGCTGATAGAGACACAAAGACACATTTCAAGATCATTTAGTGAGTCTAGTTAAATCCTCAATTTGTTGTCATTAACTATAAATATTACAATATTATTACTCATTTAGCTGACGCTTTTATCCAAAGCAACTTACAATTGCTATACATGTCAGAGGTCGCACGCCTCTGGAGCAACTAGGGGTTAAGTGTCTTGCTCAGGGACACATTGGCTGGATTGAACCCGGGTCTCTCACACCAAAGGCAGGCATTTTATCCATTGTGCCATCACCACCACCTTATATAAATATAATTAGTTAGGTTTGTCATTTTCATCTCTTAAACCTTTTCAGAAAATATAATCATGAATTTTTGCTAGACTTTTTAAACATTACTTTGCGTGTAGTGTGATGTCTATTGGGGGGTCACGTGGGCTGTGGCCTGTATCATGAAGCACTTTCAGCTTAGTCCGTCTCTCTTTGGGTATCCTGGCTTCACTGAACCTTGGTGGTCCTGGATAAGTGCTATCACTGGCTCTGTTAACTCTGGGTTCTTACAATTCAGCTACAAGCGGGTTCATGAGAAAGAGGCAAAGGTTTTAATCACAAACAACGTCATCAGGACAATATGAGATATCGTGGGCGATACCCACAAGAAAAATGTGGTAGTAAATTCTATGAGGTGAAATGTGAACAATATGATCACATAATCAGCCTTATAAATAAGGCTATAATTAATGTTGGTGTTATTATATACAGTAATCTTTTGTTTAAAGAGAGTATTTCTTGCTTTTTTAAATTAAGTTTAAATTACAGGAGAAGTTGAATAAAAGAAACAAAGTGTTTTAAACATGGAGAGTCTGGAGAAGCAAGGTATGGTACTTTATTGTCAGATGGTGAATTTCGATCTCTGCATGTAACCCATCCCAAGTAGTGGGAGCAGTGAGCAGCGCCCGGGGACCAACTCCTGATCTAAGGCAGTGCCGTCGTAAGTGGCACTGACTGGAGAACCTAACATGGTGATTTAACTGACCTATCATGGGAGATAATTAACAGTTATTTTTCTAACAAACGACTAGTTTTTATTTCCAGTTATCGTCACAGAGTCTCCTCATGTTTTTCTGAGCGGCAGTGATGGAAAAAGTTTGTAAAAACATCGACACAAAACATCAAATCTTGTTGTGAATTTAATAAACTAAAAGCGTCTTTCTGTACTGACCTATACATTTATCTGTTTATCTTATTCACTTTATTATCAGCACTTTAGTCCCGGTCAGGATCCTCTAGGAATGATGACTGAGTTTTTACAGTGAGCTGATTGGCCAGTAGTCGTTCTGAAGTTTACCCCCAAGCAGATGAGCAGTATTGGTTGCCACGGTGACCTCAATAAAAATCCACCCCACTTAGGAAACAGAAAAACCAGCTCAAAGTGCGCCAGCTTAACCGCAAACCTCGCTTCCTGGTAAACGAGGGGAAGTGAGCAGCAACAGAGCTGCAGCACAGCAACAGTGGTAGAGAGCAGGAAGTGAAAGTTGAAGGGGCCTAGAATAAAAAGATGGTCATCATTTTTCTGTAACGCTGCTTATGTGGAATTAAATACTAAAATTAAAATGACTCCACTTAAGACTTTCTCTTCTCTGGTATTCCTGCAGCTCGAGCTGCTGCTAAAACAAGAGCTTCTGATCATCTGGTGCTAGAATGAAGAAGAGGAGCCACAATATGTGCTTGTCAACATGACTGGGAAGGATATATATATATTTTATCTTACTTTTAACATCTTGTATTTTCTTATTTGATATAATATCCTAACTAGTATAACATGATGCTTATGTGGTTTATTTAATAATACTTTGCTTGTACTGAACCACTGAAA